CCCCAGGACCTGCCCTCGGAGCATAAGTCCGGGGCCGGGCTGGGCTGAGGGGTTGCGCGCCCCCGGTCATGGTACATGGTACATAGGTACATGGTGTGCTGTTTGGGTGCCTCTTGGCTGTGCCCTTGCCCTGGCTGCTGCTGACATACCATGTACGGTCCCTGCGAGACGCACAGTTTGCGCGCCGTTTTGGACGTGTCAATCAACATGCATTCCGTTTCCGAGAGATCCCCATGATGTAATCCTGACCTGAGCCGTTGCGGACATGGAAACCCCCATCATGGCGACCAAGTACGACTGAATTTTCTCAGCGGCCATGCTCAAGGTCATGAAGCGAAGAATGAGAGCAATATGGACGGAAAGGGGGGAAAAAAAAAGAACTAAAATAAAAAAACTGCTCGTGTCGTGTCGGCGTGTTGGATCACATCGCATTGCATCGACGACAATTTCATCTCCCCACCAACCGTGCCCGACATGGTAATTCAAACTCGGCATGGTAACGGCCGCTGACGTGATCGCGATGCCGATGACAGGGTCGCAAGATGATGGCCGCGCCGGAGTAGTCTCTCCGGTTCTGTCTGAAAGAGAGAAATAAACAAGGTTGCAAAAATGGGGGGATGAATGGTTGGATGGTCGGACTGAGAACGAGGGCCCGAAAACAGAGCAGCATCACGATCACCCCCAGATCGGTGATGTGATCGAGGAGGGGCGGAAAGTGGCTAAACCACCAGGCCAGGAATTGGCTCGAGGGAAGGGGGGGAGGGGGGTATGTGGGCGCTCGCTCATCCCGTTCTGTTGGTATCCTTCGATCCCAGATCCAGGTCCAGGTTTTCCAGGGTCCAAACAGGAAGCGGGAGGAAGAAAGGGGACCACAGCCTGCAGGCAAAGACTGAAGGAGGGAAAGGGGTCAGAGGGAGGACCACGATGGGCATGTTGGGCCATGAACATGGACTTTTGCGATGCCAGACATGGCACGTCCGGATGCAGTGTAGCGCATGCACCAGCGGCGGTAGAGGCCGTCGGGGTTGGTTGGATGCGAGGACATGCCCGTGAACAAGCCTACCTGTGACCACTTCCCTGATTCTCGACGTCCAGATGCGATTCCCATACAGTCGCAAGACCACGACACAGAGAGAGACGTACTTTTAGGGTCGCGCAGGGCAAAGGGATCAGGATGCTAAGGGGGAGGGAGCCCCTCATGCCCAGCTAGGCAGGATACGGCAGAGGGTTTGGGGAAGGGGGGAAGGGGGAAGAAGCACCGTCGGCCTCGAAACCTTCCCGCGATCGTGCATCCGCAGGCCATCTGACATTGTGTTTTCGCAAAATCAGGATCGGCAGGTCAATCGGCGATGAGAATCCCCCCCCCCCTCGTCGTACGGTCCTGGATGCGTTGCCGCCTGCTCCTCCGCGGCAGCACCCCCCTGTCACTTTGGGAGGGTCCTCGAACCCTTTGCGCCCCACCACAGGTTGCTCGGAAGCTCTGGTACGTACATGCGAGGATGCCGTTTCGGCTGTGCAGCGACTCAAGGGCAAGACAGGTACGAAGGAGGAGAGAGGGACAGACCGTGCGGGTGGGTGTGGCTGTAAACGCAGGGACAGGCTTGCCCTTTTGCAGCTCAAGTGGAGCCGGTCGTGCCTATGGATCCAAGCTTTTGTGGGGAGACGGACAAAAACCACCGATCCCCCCGCGGATTGTCGATCTAGACGTATACTAAAGGCGTCGGCGTGAGGACCCTTAACAACATAGTGACGTAGGCTCCTGCTCCGTCAGGGACTTCTGCCGCTCGAATGTCCCTACCCACCAGGTTTTGCAAATCTGCATTCCCTCGCTGCCGGATGCAAATGGTTCTTTGGGTACAAGGAGCCGAGTGGCGCGTTTTCGCTGTGCCTCGCGCGGCCTCCATTGCTTCCATGTTGGTCTTCACCAGCCACAACATGGCAGCTGTGGCTCGGTTACAACGGCAGCGCGACCATGGGAGTGGGTAAGCGGTTAGCGTCCTCCGATTCAAAGATGCCCAACTCACTGGTAGGCTGCCAGGGTCTCCTGACGGCGCAAACTCTCGTCATGTGGATGGGCCTCGACGTACTGGCCATGTACATGTAAAGGAGGGGCCGCCAGTATCCATGGAACGAATGCTCCGGTCATCAATGTCAAATCATACCCGCATCATACAATCTATATTGACATGTCCATCACCAGCGGCCACGAGTAGCGATCTATTCGCCTCGGCGCGCAGAGTTTTGCGCGCGTTGCAACTCGTTCGCACACCAGAAGAACGGCGGGGTCCGGGCTTAGCGCCGTGAACCCTTGCTACCATCAGGCTGGCCCTGATTTCCTGCTTTGGCAACCGTCAGAAGATGACATTTTCTTGCTGCCCCACACCAATGTTCGAAGCCACAGTGTTGTGGCGGGCGTCATGACCTGCCGGAGCCTGGTCCGACGCACGTTGCCAGACACTAAAGCCGCATCTTCTTCTTGTGACGTGAGCAGCATCCAGGCGTACGATTTGGTGTGCAGGTGATCTACAGCAAAGGAGAGTTGCAAAAGGTATTGGGGAGGAGCTGACTCTACAGCAAATGGATGGGCAAATAGCACATGTGGACGCGGTTTGTTAAGAATGCCATGTTCGACTGTTGCACACCTCATCTCGAGTGCCCTAGGGACATGCCGTTAGTTCGGCAACCTTGAAGCCACTCCGTTAGAGGACGGCGACTTGAGGAATGACAGGAACCGAAGGCCTGGTGGTTGGACGGGGCGACGGGTGATGTTCTGGGAGAAGGAACCCGAATTTGAATCGGACAGCCGCGCCAGGGACAGGCGTTGATCGAACGTCCCAGCTTCCATGCAGCGGGCCTTGAGCAAGACGCCAAAACGCCAGTAGAAGGATCAGGCGGCAGCAAACGAGGTAAAATATTTTGGGGTTTATCGATCTGTCCGATCATTGGTGATTTCGGCGCGTGTTCTTGTTCTGCCCAGCAGGCAGGTTGCTTCTTCGAGCTGGGATCCTCTTCTTCGCCCCTCTACGTGTCGCATGGGGGTGGAGGCGTAGGGTTCACCACCCATGTCTCAGCCTCTCATCCGTCAAGGACTTGATCACTCGACATTTCATCTCATCGAAAGCGGTCTTGCGAGATCGATCGAGTTTGTTCGCATTGCACAGAGAGGGAAATGGAAGCTGCGGCGATCATTGTGGTTCCAAGATCTCCAGGTGACAGGGATACAAAGTAGAGTTTGCCCTCCCGCCAACTGCTCTAAAGAGCTTAGGGGAGAGGAGGGGTGTGCATTTGTGGGCGCTGGATCGCCGGCTACAGGTTGGTAAAGTAAAAACAGAAAGATGGCCGTACTGGGAACCGGCAGCATGTAGATGGCATTTTCCTGTTCAAGGACGGGATTTCGTAACAGCCATTCATAACTACCAGCTCTCTGGCGGCTCCCCTCCTGTGTGGGCATCTTCATGCTTGACGGGCGCAAAACGGACGCGTCTCCGATGACGACATGCGTTGTCTCGTATGGGAGAAGATGTCACGACTTTGGGTTTACCATGTACGGCTCAATGAGTGAACACAGTTTTGACAAGTACCAGCTAAACGTACGGGCGGGACGGTGGCCAGTCTCTCGCGGGTCGGAAGGGGTATCTCGTGAAAGGGTTCCAGGGCAAGCGGCGAGAGGGGGGGGGGGGGGGGGGTCGGAAAGTCGACCCTCATAACCATCCGAATTGCGGCGGCGTCGCCCTGGTTCTGGCCACTGATGGCGCTGGAACCTTGACGTCATGTACGTAGAATGCATTCAAAACCAAAAAACGGGACGGTGGCGCTGTGTCGTACGGCTATGAGTCGCACTCAGTTTTCGAGCTGGCGCATTCTCGAGCAACGAAACGAGAAAAAACCAGAGAGAAAGGACTATTGACCGATGCGACAACTGCGATGCCCATGCGGAACAGAGGAGCGTCGATGGACGGACCCTGTAAACCGTGGATCATCCACCTCTGCGCAGCACCAGATCAGCTTGTGGCTTAACCTGGAGGCAGAGAACGGGGGGACAGGCAGAGCAATGCGAGCGGGCGGGAGTTGCTGCTAACAAGACTCCCAACTCCCAAGCTCAGGATCAAAGAGGGTTCGGGTACAGCCAGGTGTGCGCTGGGGATTGGGAACGTACCTACCTACCTACTTACCTTCGGGGAGGGCGGACATTTTTCAGTGACGGACCCACGCCCCGGTGTGGACGGTGACGGTTTGGGAGAATGATAACCGTCTGCAGTGTGGGTGGATCAATACAGAGCAGGCAGAGGGAAGAAAAGGGTAGTGTTGCGGTCGGGGCTCAGGTACCAGGTTGGGGACCCACCCGGACTGTGGCTGTCTTTCTTGCTTTCCTCTCCTCCCCTCTCCTCTCCTCGTTGCTTCCTGACCAGAGCGCGCTGACGCAGTGCGCCGAAGTCAGGGAGCTGCAGCCCACTTCGTGCATCCTGGCCCTGCCTTGCGAAGTAGCGCTGCTGGCTCTGCGCTGGGTGGACCCCTGGACCCATACAGGCCCAGCGTCCCATAATTTATCTCGGCGCTAGTCCGTCTCCATCCCAGCGTCCCTGGCCCCTGTGGATACCCAAGGCAGGTAGGTTGGCTCCACACACACCCGCCCGCACACCCTCCGCTACTGCGCACACCCTGGCGCCTCGTCGCCGCTCGCCGTTCAGGTTCTCTGTGCTCTGCGCTTTCCCATGCCATGGGCTTTCATGCACCAGCTCCATTTCCCATCCTCTTCTCCTCCCTCATCTTCAGACCACACCCCCCTCCTTCCCTCCTCCAAGCTCGACCGCCCCCGTACCATAACTTGTTATATACTTGAGACCCTGACACCAATCCTCTTGCCCACCCCGACCTCCTCACCCTTTTGCTCCCGTACCCTACATATTCATCCTTCCATAACCCGTCCAGCTCTCCTTCGACGCCGACCAGAGTCTATAGACAGCAACCTGAGACGGCAATACTATCCACTTAACGCCGCCATGATGCAAGCACGCGATGCTACGGGCCGCAAGGTCTCCCTCCTCAACGACGATGCCGACCCTTCGCCTTCCTTTATCTCCCCGGCTCCACATGCGCAGCCACAACGTCCGAGCTATCGGGCTTCGACTCTGATCAACTCGCAAAACTACTCTACCAGCTCGCTGCGAAGCAATTCTCCCTCGCCTCACACACCTGAGCTTCTCCGATCAGACTCGTACGACTCCAACATGAGCACAGGGCCTGGCTCGCCTTTGACGCCCACCGCCTATGAATACTCGCGAGCTCACCCTTTCGTGTCCGGTCAGCCTCTCTACGACGAGTACGACCAGACAACCAAGCGACCTACCTACGCCGCCACCAGCCGGTCCAACTCGTATGATGACGATGCCACCGCCACCTCCAGCCTGCCGGACCGCGCCGGCAAGCGGTATCCTTGCCGCTATCGGGACAGCCACGGTTGCGAGAAGACCTTCACCACCTCTGGCCATGCCTCGCGGCACTCCAAGATTCACACGGCCGAGAAGGCCGTCCAGTGCACCTTCGCTGGCTGCCAAAAGAAGTTCACCAGGGCCGACAACATGAAGCAACATCTCGAAACCCACTACAAGGACAAGGCGCGTATGCCTGCCTCGACCAAGCCCGTGCCTTCGCGCGCTGCCGTTGGTGCTCTGACAGGGTCTGCAAGAAGGTCCTCGTCCTCTAGCAAGACGTCCGCCAGTTTCCGCGCCGCCCAACGTGAACAGGCAGCCTGGGATGCCGAGCAGTACAACCACTCCGCATCTAACACAACAGCCTTGCCGTCTCCTGGAGTTTCCTCTGGCGCATGGGACTTGCGGGCGCTCAATGCTCCTCTCATGAGTCGGCCCAACGCCGCGCGGACACCCAGTGGCCTTGACGCTCTCGCCATGGCCATCGCTTGCCAAGAGGGTTGAGTGCAATTCATAGCCATTTCTTCTTCTCTACCTCGCACTCTTCAATCCCATACACCGTACGCAATTGCCCTCATGTCAACATCTACCTTTTCCACCTACAAACTACCTCCTCTGTTGGCAGCCTCTTCTCTTGGCTTTATATTTTGTCGCGATCGGCGTTTAGGCACGGGCTGGGACATATACCAGGATACCTCGGGTTTCTTTTTATCTATTGGCGTTCAGGGCAACATGGGGGCGCAAAGCATATGATGGGCGCACCATGCATTTACACGCGGAGGATCATGCGCAAGGGTATACAAAAACGGCGCTGGAATCCATCGGATATGGTATGGGCCTGTCAACACCTTGTTTCCAGGCAAGTGTGATGAACAGGGCTCGCGTCGTGATCCATCGCACGCAGGCACTTCTCAATTCTTTATGAGCAGACAAGTCACCCACACTTGTTGCGGGCTAGTCGCTACACGCGGAAGACGATGAAAATACGAACACTATGCCATCTTCACCACATTTTGTCCAATTCGTGAATTGTACGCAAAACGTTTGACATTTTCTAATGTCCACAAACACACAACTGTAGAAAGATGTATATGATCTTATGGTACCAGATGAGTAGCTTACCCAGGAAGCACGCTCACCATATTTTCTCATTCTCAGCACAGAACCGAGCCATCTCCAGTTGCTCATCCGTCTGGCATACGAGCACGCGTTTTCCATTCCCCTGCTTGCCCACATCTTGAACAGTGTCGACAATCTTCTTGCCGTTCAACGAATCATCCACCTCAAACCCAAGGCACGCAACTTGGGCTCCGACACGCGCGCGCAGCTTGCCGCTCTTCTCCCCGATGCCTCCGGCAAAGACGAGAGCGTCGACCTGGCCGCCGAGGGACACAAAGTAGGTGCCTATGAAGCCGCAGACGCGATCGACGAAAATGTCAAACGCCAACTTGTGCTTCGGGTCGTCGCTGTCAGCAATGACGCCAAAGTCAGTCGTGCCCGTCAGAGCCTTCCAGCCGCTCTCTTTGTTGAGGATCTCCTCGGCGCGCGAGATGTGCAGCTCGGAGGTCGATGAGGGGGAGAGCTTCCCGACGTCGCTCGCGTAGTGGAAGACGAGGCTATACATGGCAAAAACGCACCAAATGTCAGGCCACTTTGGTCTCGTTGGCAATAGGGAGGTGCGAGCACGAACAGGTGGGGGCGACGACGTACCTTGGATCTACGCTTCCGCTCCTCGTCGCGCCGGGGAGACCGGCGAGGGGCGTCAGGCCCATGCTGGTATCCCAACTCTGGCCCTGTCTAACGGCACAGGCGCTGGCGCCGCTGCCCAGATGAAGCGCGATGATGTTGAGATCAGCAGCGTCCTTCTTCAAGAAATCAGCCACAGACCTCGTGATGAACGAATAGCTGATTCCGTGAAACCCATATTTCCGGAGATGGTTCTTCTTTGCAACGTCGACGTTGATGGGATACGTGCGAATGTGCTCCGGGATAGTGGAGTGGAATTGAGAATCGAAACAGGCCACATTGACCGCGTCGGGGAGCTCGTCAATGCAAGACCTGACAATGGTCAGGGCGGCACCGTTGTGCAGGGGCGCGAGGTCGCTGAGCTTCTCCAGGTGATGGTACGTGTCGGGCGTGATGATTTGGGAGGCCGTATAGTCGCCCCCATGGACGATTCTGTGGCTGGTGATGCCAATGTCGTCTTTCGCCTGGATCTCCTTGAGCTCTTGATCCTCAATTAACGTCTTCAGGAGAAGCTTGAAAGCATCGTCCTGGCTCTTGACCTGCTCTTCTTGCAGCTTCTCGGACTTCTTGACGGTGACGCCGTTCCGGGTGTACGATAATTGGGCAGGCGGGGCTGTCAATCCGCTGATCTGCGTTTCCGCGAATTGGCGGGGCTTTTGCTGGAACTCAGCGGAGTAGACGGAGATCTTGACCGAGCTGGACCCCGCGTTGATGGCGAGGATGACCTTCATGTTGCCCAATTTCTAGATTATCCGTATGTTGATGATGGGGTTTACCTGCCTTTCCGCTACGCTCGCCCGAGAGAGGACTGTAGTCTCCTTAAGCTGATAAGGTTGGGTGACGCGCGACTGCTTGTGGTCTGATGCTTGCACGAATGGCAATGTCAGGACTGCGCTAGACTGATACTGTAAACAACGGATCTTGAATAAGAGCAAGCCCTCGCAGAGGCGGCTTGGGTATGTACGTGCACAAGGGTTTGTGTGTGGCGCCGAGGGTCACGATTTGGTTTGGAATGGTAGCTAGAGTGGCCTGATGATTGCTCTCGAGGGACAGCGGCAGGTTCGACTGTTTTCAGTCCGAGATGGATTGAGGTGGAGTGGGGGGAGCTGCACCACGGTGACGTCGATACATGGTGGGCTGATCTAGCGGGCAGAATGCGGAAACCGACATAGACTTGACTGGATTCACGACTCCAGGTGTGGTCAGATGCAGTTGGTTACCCTCTATCGAATCTACACACTAGGATCTTGCGCTAGTAGGTCCATGGTACTGAGGTAGAGATCCCTGGAGCTCGTCGTTGCTTGGACATGAAGGTTGTTTTCAATCGCATTCAACCACAACTCCCAGCGAAGATTGGGCAAGGGCTCCGTCCACCCGTGAGCTGGCTGTAGCATGCGGGATAGTCGGAGGGCTATTGGCGCAAAGTGGACATCGACTATTGAAAGCGCGTCACCAAGAAAGAACGGGCCCTGCTCTCGACGTTAGCAGGTCTTACTACGTGCCCCATCCTGAGCCAGCCACACGACATGACAAGCATTGTCTTACCTGCTCGTCTGCGGCAAGCACCAGTTCTGTGATGTGTCGCTGTAACTGTTCAATGCATATTGGGCGAAGCGTCTCATCGACGTTCCTCAGGACTTTGAAGAACGAGGGCACGATCATGGTGTTGATCTACAGACTGTGTCAATTGAGTCCACAGGGAAACAAACACATGTATGAAATCCACAACTAGGGCACGAACATGATCAATCCAAACCCGGCAGTTCGCCTTGAGACGAGCGTCTGGTGGGAAGAGGGGATTTGCTGGTTCGGCATCTTCCAACTGCGACGCATGTCAGTCCTGCTCGAACGTTTGGCACTTTCCTTGGAACGCAGAACATCTTACATATTCGAGAATCACTGTGCTCCCTGAGCAAGCCCAATCCCCTTGCTTGATGGCAGGCAGAGTGCCCCTGGGGTTGGCTTCGAGAAGTTGCCTCGGCAGTGGTGTGCGGGAGGGGTCAACTTCAACGTACTGGTACGGCAACTTCTTCGCCTCCAAAGCTATCCAGACTCGCTGCGCAAATGGGCTGTGGCAAGGTCGTTTAGTTCGACGGATGTCACCAATTATAGATAAGTATAAACGTTGAAAGAGGACGTACCAATAGCATGCTGCAAAGAACTTGGTGTCACAATCTTTTGAGTGCTTCCTGATCGTCGCTGCTGCTGCTTCGGAGGCTTTCCTAGAAGTTTGTATCTATGATTATGTTAGTTCTCCACGATCAGTATCAAATTCCACCAATATACACGTTATACCTTTTTGGCCGCTTGCTCTTGCTTCGCCAGGAAACGCAGCACGCTGTTTTTCTTGACCTCGTCACTCCTGGCCAAGGTGTGGCGATGCGGTCCAGCTATGCCACTGCCGCTCAAGTGTCCGTTGACGCGCTGTATAGTGTAGAACTTCTGCCCATCTCTGCCTACGTCCGTTGGCACATCGTTGGCTTCAGCTGGGAGAACACGAAAGCGACGGTCGCTGCCGCTGCTGAGAGCGCTCTGCGGCATGTTGACAGGCGTGTACGTCCCGTCATCAAGATCGTGCAGCGTGGCGCCGGGGAAGTACTCGGTGATCTTGATCTTCACATCACACTGATTCAGTTCGCGAACAGCACGCTTCCGCTTCTTTTTGTTCGGGTCATCAGACTTGGGTGTTCCCGGTGGCCGCCCCTTGAGCCTGCAGTCATAGTAGTGAGAGACGAATGGCTTCCGCTTATACTTTTGCGAGCTGCGATGAGAGTAGACATTGTCAACATGCGGAAAATACGTGTTGTATCTGGTAAATGTCAAGGTCAGAATCGAAAGGAAATGGCTAGGGAGTGTTCGTGATCAAATACTGTTCATTGGTCAAGACTATGACACCGTCCGCATCGAACAAGCGCTGTCTCCATTCTTGCAGCTCAGGAGGATCCAAAACATAGGTTGTAGCGTCTTCGGGCTGTACGCTCTGTGACGGTACATGGCCTGGTACGGCAGCAGGAATCCCGCTTGGCGCGAGACGAGGGTCAAGTTGAGGGCCGAAGGGCGGTGGCAAGGCCTCAAAATGAGGAGGTTGGCCCGCTGGGTTTTGCACAGGAAGCGCTTGTCCCTGTGTTGAGTGAACGGCTTGCCCTGGTTCGTCGCGACTATTCATCAGATGCCGCACGTGGGCCTCTGACACTGGGGGAGAAGTCGCGACTGGGACATCGGGCGAGGCACAGTTGGTTGCGTGAGACAGTTCCTGGTGAAAGACATCTCCGTGGAGAGCAGCCTGGTAATGTGACATGATCGGAGGTCCACCGTTCCCCAAGTCAAACGGCGGCGGCCCGGAATCAGGCATGACTATCGGACACAGCTGGTGAATACAATCAGGAATTCGCGGGCCGGTTTGAATGATGTTGCTGCTTTATCGAGTAGTAAACGGATCGTGGTTGATTGAGCTCAGGGGAGTTGAGCAGAGGTCCATGTGTTCAAAAGAAGCGACTCTTTCTGGACTCAAAAATCGGCTAGTAGGGCATTTGTGGATTGATGCATACGGGTGGTATTACATTGCTAGCATCACCAAGGACCAAACAGCCATATCAACGCTCTTCAAGGCACCAAATCAGTTCATCAACTCAAGTTCTGCAGGATTGAAATGATCTCGATTAAAGCCACCAACGCCGACCAACCAGGCCATCGAATACCCCGTCATCCACCCTGCTCCCCCGTGAACCCTCGATACTGAGTGGAAAAATTAGTCGTACATTGGCACGTGTCATGCCTTCGTCAAGAAATACCTCCCCAAACTCCTCATTCTGCTGTAGATTCACATTTCACATCGTCATGGGGACGGCGACCAGCTAGGCTCCCGAATCCCACGATGACAGATCCATCGCGTCCATCGGTCCCATATTCATGAGCGATCGTAGCACCCCCTCGCTCATTGGGGTCATGCCTGTCTGACCTGGCATGCCCGGCCACCCGTTGGACGCCATGCCATAGGCATCCACAGGGCTGTCACCCATCTGGAACCTGGCCCCGGGTGTCATCCCGGTGGGACCCAGGTTGAACCCTCGTGAGTCGGCGAAGAAGCCAGCAGTGGTGGATTCGCCGTTCACCCCAATATTAGCGCTTGGGTTGTTAGAGGCTGGACTGGCGTCGAACGAGTTTCTGCTGGATCCTTCCATGCCAACCGATGCGGTCGGCCCACTTCGATGTTCAGAGGCTGAGCTTGAGTTGGGTGTCGGCCGATTAGACTGATCGCCATCTGGCGAGCCCATCGTGTTGTCGCCGCTGCTTTCGCTCTGTCCGAACCCAGCACCTGTACCGTTTCGCGAGCCCCCCAACGAACCTGACCCCGGCGTCAGGACCATGCCCTGCAAAGGTACGCGAGAGGCACCTCCTTCTTGAGCGAATCCGGCGTCTGGACCAAGCCAGCGCTGGCCGGAGAAGCCGGACGAGTCCGAAATAGTTCTGCTCACAGGCTGAGTGCCCGAAATCGGTTCGACAATGCCAGGGGCGGTGACTGGAACGGCATCATCGCCATTCGTGTAGTTGCAATCATTCCTGTAGGCCAGAATTCCTGAAGCACCTTCTTCATCACATCGCTTTCCCGCGGCGGTGGCATCCGGCTAAAGCACGCGGCAATGTCAGTCAACGGCATCAAGGGCCATGCAAGGGTGAGGGAAAAACGTACACTGTCGCCGCTTCGTGGGAATGCAGCTCTCAGCTTCGGAATTCTCATCCCCAAAGCTTCGAGATCGACATCAAGTTGTACTAAGAATGACTCCGTAAGGGGGTTCCTACGCTTCAGAGCATTCATGGCTGACAACAGAAAACGCAATGAATCTGCCGTCTGACTGTCATCAGGTCGACTCTTGAGATATTGCACGAACACCCTCGCAGCCACGTAAAGGCAGAACGCAATAAAAGGATTCATCTGTAGGCTTGTTAGAGGACCTTGCCGTAAAGTAACGGTGCCAGACAAGACTTACGCAGCTTAGATCCATGTGCGATATCATCCTCATAATACTCGCAATCTCGTTGGCAGCGGTAATGCAGCGCACTTTGCTTTCGGCACTCACTGATGCCGGTAGCTTGTTTTTATCGGCTTTAAAAATAGCCGCCTGATGGAGGCATATCGTCGAGGTGTGGATGCTCATATTGGTAAAAACAATGTTGGGGTTGCTGAGGCCGGACGGCAGCTTGATGTGAGGCGGCAGGCAGAGCGATGTGTTGAGAATGATGTTGTCCATGGCCCTGTGGCGTTTCCAGAACTCGCCGTTGAGGTCGTTGTCTCGGTCGTCGACGTCGGGTCTGTGAAGATGGATAAGATTACGGCCGAAGAGACAGGCCATGAGCACAATGCCGCCGAAAGATGAGAGTTTGCTTGCTCCTGCAGGACTCATGCTGTCTTGGAGCGATTGCGTCTGCTCAGGCCTACTCATATCGAACGCTTCGTCCGAGGATGGCAGGTTCGTCATAATGTCCTTCTCGTCGATGGTCATGGGCCAGCCAGTGCCGATGCTCGCATACCGATCCTCGCAGAATGCCATCCAGAACGTGCGCCGCCGCTCTTCGCGCTCGGTCCAATCGCGCGGGGGTGGAAGGCATTGCTTGACGTCGAGGCCCGCCCCATCTAAGCGGTGAAGTCCAATCCTGGATGACGTTAGTGACTCCGCTCCGCGACCACATATTCAGCATGCTGTCGCTACTCACATTTGACACAAGCGGACTGCCGCCCCCGTATTCATCCATGCTCTTGGGAAATACATCATCTTGAATTCATATGAAGCCAACAAAACATGAGTTTGTGCATGGGCGACAGATATCATGTGCTCTCCGTAGCCTTTAATGTAGTCACCTTCCACGTACTTGCGTGCACGTTGATAGAACAAGTCCTTCAAATCAATGTACTTGTCTGTTATGGAACAAGCCAAGGTCCAGATTGCGTATCGGAGTGCAACGGGTGGACGTTGATTTGGGGCTCTTGAAGCACAGTCATCAGCTCAAAATGATTACGGGAGGCAAAGTTCATACTTACAGGTTCATGGCCGCCAGATACCTGTACTTGTGAATCATTGGCATGGAAGGGTGAACCTTCTCAAAGTAGATCTGATGCCTGCGTAGGTACTACTGTTAGCTGCGTCACATGCCAAGCATTGAGGGCGAACAAACAGCTCATCGATGGTCTCCTGCGGTGGCAGGGGCTCCTCCAGACCAAGTCCAATCATTTCCCATGGGAAGTTCGTATTGTTCAGGTTGCCCATTCCGATCGGCATGTTGGGGTTTAAGCCGGGGTTCATGCTCGTGTTGAAGTTGAAATCGTCCAGGGGAGGCCCAGGTTGAGGCGACTCGCCCGCAAACTGCCAGCGGTCCATGTCGCGGTCGCCTGGAAGAGTGAGCGTGGCATTCTGGCCGCTGAAGCCACCACCGGCGGCGGCGGCGGCGGCTGGCAGCTGGACGCGGGTAGCTGATGCGGTGTCAAGGTTCAGAGGCGCGGCCGCATTGATCTCGGCACCTGTTGCCGAGTCTTTGGTTTTGTTGAGGAGGGTTTCGACCTGTTCTGCAGATAGAAGCACACGATCAGTAGGCGCGACCACGGGCGCAACGCCAGGACAGCGAGGGGGTTAACGCTCACTGAGACGCTCCTCCAAAGCCTTGACATAGCCCCGCTTGGGGCCGCTCTTTCGGCGCACTTCGTCGTATGCGCACGAGTGGCCTAGCCTGGTGCATGTGCTGCAGCTGGGTTTGATGCCGTCGCATTTCAATTTCCTTTTGCGACAGATCATGCAGGCCAGGCGCTTTGGTTTGGGTATGCTTCTGTTGTCGGCAGTGTCTAGCTCTGCATTGGGAGACACGGCTCGATGACGAGACGGAATGCCGCCGCCATCTTGTTCGGTTGATGTCGTCGGCGATGGGGGAGACATGGCGAGGCTGGACAATCGGGCCCGCGGGAGAGAGGATGGACCGCAGCCACAGCCGGGTCACTGTTCGCGATATTTTGGGTTCCCAAGTCGCGGCAGTTGGTGGTGGGTGGTGTGGAGGTTCGACGGGGCTGTAGAGAGTTGGGCGGTCAGGCGGTTTGGCAATCGGGCAGTGGGTGATGAGGGCCTGCGAAGAGGCCAGTCACTGTCATGCCAGGGGCCTTGTTCGCGATCTGTTTTTGGACAAAGGGAACGATTCTAGTTCGTCGTATGTTGTCACTGGTAGGTGATCTATCGTGCGACGCAGATGTTATCGGATCGCTCAATTGAAGTTCTGTCTCAAGGTGAAGATGGCCGGCCCGCCTGAAAATCGGGGGGTGGATAGTGGAAAGGTTGTTGATAAGATGGATGCGCTGAGCAGTCAGCTCGCTTTACATGTATCTGCGACTCAACTTCACGTGGCGAGTGTCAAGCCTATCAGCAAGCCCCATTCCCGGCGAATCTTAGTGAACCGTCTACCTAGCAAGTTTGTAGGGAAGGGCTACCTAGGTGGCCCAGGTGCCTAGACATCTGAAAGAAGAACATGTAGTGGGTACCTACCTACATGTACATGTACAGTCTCGCTCGGCAGCCGAGTGAACCAGGGGATCACGCCAGACAAGGACCCCTTTTTCTGGTGGGCGACATGCGATCCCCAACGCCTCTTCCTACCTGTGCCTGTCCCCCGCCCTCAGAGGGCTTCTTTATTTGAGAGAGCGTGCAGCCGGGTGCGGACTGGTACAGAACAAATTTGCGCCCATGTCATAAGCATTGGAGTTGCTTCATGCACCGTACAAACCAGTACCGCGTGTACTTCACGTACAAATGGCTGTTCACATGGGCAGGGCGCAGCGCAGCCACACACCTTCCTTGCTACTGCTTCCCATAAGGTACCTACAGGGATGAGGTCAATCCAGCACACATCGACTCGGCCCATCGATCCATTGCCGCCCCCGCACTTGCTGCGCACAGCGATGCAACAACGCATCGTCTTCTGCCAGGCAGGCTATGGCGTTGCGTAAGTCCTGCACAGGGTCCAGCTCTACACTCGCGCGATCGACCATGTGCCTGCCAGGCGATGCCAGACGACGCACATGCTTTGGCTCTAGGCAGCAAATTTGCACCTCGCAATCGTCATCTCTCAAAAGTTGTACAAGGCTGGTTCCTCTGCGCAGATGCTTCGAGGTCTGATAGGAAGCTCGATACAAGCGTTGCCAAGGCTGAGTAATCTGGTGCCCCAATTGCCATTCACAAGCCACTTCAAATGGCGATCCAGGAAAGGCACAACTTTACCCCCCCCTTCGCGAACTGTCGGTCTGAAGTATGCCCGCGCTGACTGACACGCACCTCAGCCCCCAGCTCTCGGGTCCTTCCTTTCCGGGACAAAACTGACATGTAGAGAGCGCAACACCCTCCCGTAGAGCTCTATTTTCGTTCTGTATCGATACCAGCAATGCGGAGGGCATTCTGGTCTATAAAAGCGAGGTAATATCGTGTAGGTGCCCATGCCACCACTGGGCTGGGATCACTTGTCTTGATGGTGTGGATAATATCCCCCGTCTCCGTGTGGAAAACATCAAGGCCAGCACCCTGTTCGCTGCCTCCCACGCAGTAGCTGCCGTCAAATGTGAAGCCTGTGGTGTCCTTGATCAGGAATGCGCACCAGCGACATGAATGGAGAACTTACTGATGCTTCGGACAGGGCCTACAGACGTGGTGACCGTGTTCTGGCAGATCCAGTTTGTCGTGTCCCAGAGCGCAATGATGGAATCATACCCACCCGTGGCTAGATAACGAGCAGTCGGCTGCATCTCGGCCGAGAGGCATTGTGAAGCGTGGCCATCCAGCGTGAACTCGATGGCCCCGTCTGGGCCCTCGCGGTGAAGCAGCGGCTGAAAGTCGGGATACGAAAGGATACGGACACGACCCTCGCCAGTGGTCAGGAAGACCTTCTCTCCACTCCAGCAGAACGATACCTGATTTGTCTGCACATCTTGCGTGTGAGTAGACAAGGGTGTCGTTTGGGTAGGAGACAGTATAAAGAGCGTGTCCGCCTACGCCCTTGGTCAGCACGTTCTCAGTAGCATCGATTCTGTGGACTCTGAACGGCACCACTCACTTTGTTGCCTACGACGAGGGTCTCGCCATCTGGGGCCCATGCCAGCGTGAAGGCTTCACCAAGACCCTTGACTTCGTTGGTGCAGGTTTTGCTTCGAACGTCCCAGAATTTGACCACGCCATCAAAACTAATGCTACAGAGCTCTGCATCCTTGGCAGGATTGAAGGCAACCTTGGCAATCGCAGCTGTGTGCCCCTTGAGCTCGGTCGAGAAGCGTGCAACGGGCTTTTCGGGATTCCCTGCAGAAAGGTCAGCCAGCCTTACGGAAACGTGAGTGCCAGGACAAAGAGCGCGAATAGCGCAACTGACAGACACGAAGTATCCTATCCGCTCCCGTGGCAATGAGTGAACCAGTTGGATTCCAAGATATGGACCATATGCTACTTTTTTTCTTGTCAAACATTGAAATCTTCTATGAAGACGAGGGTTTGATACCTGCGTAAAGAGCCGCTGTTGCGTGAACTGGAGCCGAAGCTAGGGTCTTGATACGTTTGTATCTTGATATCTTTCAAGTACGTAGTGAATCGTTCCCTCGGGAGACTTGTCTTCGGGCGAGAGAGCGGTGCCATGTCGATGTACGGGCTGATAGTCCGCTATGAGCGAGTGGCTGTGCGACTTTCTGTGCGTGTGCTTGTGTGCGTATGTGTGGGAAGGGAAGAGGTCGGATGAGACAGAGAAGCAAGCATGCACGGAACCGGTATTGAGATTGAGAGGTAGAGAGAGGCGCGAGGTATTGTGCGATGTCGGATGAGTGTCTTAAGTCTCACAGAAGTTGGTACGTGGCACTTCCTACCAACTACACAGTCCGGTAGCTCGGAGCGAGCCTAAGGCAGACTGAGCACTCCAAATAAAGCGATGCTTCTTGACAACCCCTCTGACAGGAAATATAGCGATGTGTAGTGCCCTGCAAATACTCGTAGGGTACCGAAGCGTACAAAATGCACCAGCTGCTTACCTCTTGAGATGGGGTGGGTCCCCGTCGCCGCTCGGTGACCCACCTCCTAGCCTCACCGACCTCGCCTCTCGCCCTTCCACACAGGTACCCAGCCCCTGACCAGGGCAGGCCAGTGCATACGTAATGTACGTCCTAGCTGGCGGGGACCAGGACATGCTGCACGGTCTGAGACCAGCAGCTCCGAAGCTGGTTACTACTTGCAAACGCGGTTCGGAGCTCGCGATGCTCCATCATTGAAGCATCGACCTACCGCACCTGACGCCGTGCCATTGTCGAACTTCCATAGTACAGTGCACTCCCTCAATACAGTCAGGCCATGCAATTCGATCGATTCTCCTGCGAAGAAGCTTCAGTCGCTGCTAAGCAGTGCACACCTGTACTCGCCGCATCCTCCAAGCGTCCTCATTCAACCTAACGAGGACGGCCATGATCGGACGGTAACGCTGGACTGGAGCCTGCCATCAATTTCCGCTGCGGCGCACTGCCAACATGTACTGGCCCATCGGCACTCCAAAGACCTACGCGACGAGTAGTAGTTCTGGACCCGAGTTCAACCTCGTCGTCTCTGAAGATGGCATCACCAACCCCTTTGACCGAGCCTCAATAAACGAGCCACCGCAACACCCATACGTATCCTCGACCGAACCCTGCCATGAGAACGGGGCGCAAAATGCACTGCCGGAACCATCTGTCGAGTCGACGACTCCCCTAACGCCCGCTACGCCCGCAACACCTGCAGTTCAGTCCGTGGAGCGAGGCGATCCAGATCAACCCGATTCCGCAGCATTCGCGTCAACGCAGATACCCGACGCTGTGAAGTTGCCCCTCAAAGATCCTGTCCTGGCACTGCGAACTTCCCGGAGTGGATCGCTGTTTGCCGTCATCACAGCGACCTCAATGGCTGTTTGGCAGACAAAGGTGGGTTGCGTCCAATTCTCGGCAGTCTGCAGATGACTCTCTGACCCTTCAAGCCTACCGCTATCCTCGCCGTCGTCGTTCGATCTGTGTCGTCCCTCAGTACCTATGGCGAGAATTTCGATCTGCTTATGCGTCCCGACTCGGCCATCCTGGTTGTCCACACGACACAGGGCTATCTCATCACGTACTCCCTCGCCACAGACTCCGAGGCCCACGTTTACAAACCCTACTTCCCCAGCTATGCCAATATACAAAGGCGCCGCCAAATTCACGCCGGACCTGGAGGTAGTGCACCCGACCAATTTCTATGGGGCCCGGGCGAGGGAGCGGGCGTTCGCGATGTCAGCGTTCGTTTCAGGATGGTTATCAAGGTGGATGCAGGAATCGAGAGCGCACTTGCTCTCGATGACGAACTGGTGGTGGCAACAAGGAAGCCAGCAGCTGTGCAATGCATCCGATGGACTCCCGACAACAGCGGAAGCCAGACCAAGACTGAGATGATCAGTCGTATGGGGTGGTTGGACAAGAAGATCACCATAACGGAGATGACCCATGACCGGCCGATGAACCTGTCGACGTGGATCACCAGCGATGGCAAGGCGCATGCTGTCCAACGTGTGTCAGCCCGAAAGTTAGCCGACGGCGAGGCAGATCCAAAAAAGCTCTTCAAGGGTTACTGCTTCCACTCACCTCGGGGCAAGTTCGATCACGCTCGACGTGCTGTCATCAATGCAAGGTTCTCCCTTATAGCAGTCGGCTGTGCCAATGGCAGCATTCATGTATATTCAGCACGCGACTACGCTGGCAACATCCCATCGTCTCATATCCACACACTCCCTGTTTCCCACACTGTCTCAGGCGCCCTTACAACGCTGAGCTACTCGCCAGATGGCTATTGCCTCTTCGCTGGGTTCGAGAAAGGGTGGGCAACATGGAGCGTATATGGCAAGCTTGGAAGCCACAGCTTCAATTTCGATGGCTCGGTTGCAGAGACGGCTGGCGAAGACTGGCTTTCATCTGTCATTGACGCTGTGTGGCTTGGAGGAGGCTCAGAGTTGTTGATAGCAAGTCGGGACCGCGAAGCCATATGGGCGATAGAAATGGCCAGGAGTGCGGTAGCAGGCTGCTACAACTCTGCGAACCTGCTCCGCACCGTCTTACAAACGAGCACCAGTGTCATGATATACCGTGGCTACGATGTCCCCGACCTGGCCTCCATATCGGCAGAACCCTTCCTTTGGCACACAGCCGAAATCCCGCCAGCATATCTGCTCAACCAGTGGCCAATACGGCACACTGTCATTTCTCCTGATGGTCGTTACGTCGCCGTGGCCGGCAGGCGTGGACTGGCACACTATAGCGTGAACAGTGGACGGTGGAAGACCTTTTTGAATGAGGCCGCCGAGAACGAGTTCCAAGTTAGGGGTGGCATGTGTTGGTACCAGCATATCCTCGTAGCTGCGGTTGAGGTCAACCGGACGCATGAGATACGACTGTACTCCAGAGAAGCCGCTTTGGACGGTTCGATGGTTGTGCATTCCCAGCCAGTATCTGCCCCTATCGTTCTGATCACAACGTCGGGTGAAGACTCGCTTCTGGTGTACACTTACGAAAATCTACTGTACCACTTCATCTTTACGCCTTATGCCGGTTCGGTGAGATTGGTGCAACTCGGTCAGATTGCATTCCATGGCATCGTCAGGTCCCCAGCCAGAGTGCGTGGGCTAAGCTGGATCCTACCAGAAAGCCAGCTTGTCGACGGCGACCCATCGCAGGATGTTGCCGTGGCTTCCGTGCTATTCCTGGTCGATGCGAAGCTTGTTCTACTGTGCCCGTCCGTGAATAGCGAAGGGCATCTCAAGTACGACATGAGGGTCATCTCGCAAAACGTCGAGTTTTATGCCAGCATGAGGGACCAGCCGGCCCAGGACGTCCTTGCTTCGTCTCCGCAAAACAACTCGACGAAGACTGTGGACACAAGCTTGAGGAATGCGCTGTGGGTGTTTGATGGCACCGAGTTCAAAGTGTGGCCCGAAATGCAGGATGTCATGCGGGCAGCATCCGGCGAATCCTCTGGCGACCTTCCCGCGACAGTCTCCATACCGATTGACTTCTATCCTCTCTCAACTCTGCAAGCCAAGGGTATTCTTCTGGGTGTGGAAGCTGACTTGGTACAAAGGCGTGACCTGAACTTCTCCCTTTTCCGGTTCACCATCAGGGTCAGTTTGACTTCTTTTTGCTTGAGATACGAGACTTTCTCTAACGTGATCCGCCAGACACATCTTTTCCTACCCAATATTCTTCGTTTCCTCCTCGTGGACAACAGATCTGCCGATGCTGTCAGCCTGGCACAGCAGTTCCAGCATCTCGAATATTTTCCTCATGCGCTAGAGATGTTGCTCCATCAGGTACTGGACGATGAGGTAGACTCTGCGCCCGTGCCAGAGAAAGCGATTCTTCCACGAGTGCTGTCGCTCCTGTCCTGTTTCAAGGAGTACCTCGATATTGTTGTGCAGTGCACGAGAAAGACAGAAGCAAGGCAGTGGCGGACTCTGTTCGCCTACCTGCCGCCGGTGCAGGAGCTATTTGAAGAGTCTCTTCTCCGTGGCTCACTCAAGACAGCCGGGGGCTACCTGATTATTCTTCACACATTGGATGAATTGGGCTCTGCCCCTGAGCAAACTGTGAGACTTCTGTCACGCGCTATGCGCGAACAAGACTGGGATCTTTGCAAAGAGTTGGCACGGTTCTTGGCGGCAATGGACGAGACGGGAGATACATTGAGGGATGCGATGGAACAAGTCGATGTGTCGATGGAACGTATCAGCGACTCACCTTCACCGGGAGGAGGATTAAGCCATTTGCGGCTCCCGGTGAGTCGCAGGGGGCTGAACGGTTTGGGCTCAAAGACGAGTGAGGATGGAGAGGAGTCTGACACACTTTCCGGAAGCGATGCGGCGAGCTTTTCGTCAGAGCGACGCTGAGGACAGACTTGAGGTCGCTTGCATGTAGGAATGAGGCCTAACAAGGTTCTATGGACTTGCTTGATGTTCCTCTACCTGAACTGTTAGGTGCGGTCGCCTCGCTATTGACAACTGTTGGATATGTGCATTCATTCCCTCGTCAGCAACAGTGGCTTGTGGTGGGCGGTTTTACGGTACGATAAGATGCCGCCCGATAACCAGCAGTACTGGCGCACACAGCCCCCCCACCTCACTTCCCCACGGCACCACATGGGATCTTGTCTTGACTGCATCAATCACTTCTGGTGCAGTAGACTGCTTGAACGACCGTCGCATAGCAGAGCCGCAGCAGCACGCCCGTGAGCGCCATAGGGCACAAGCTACCACCCTGATTCGAGCTTTCTATCTCACAGACTTCGACACCCAGCCAGCAAACGGCGCGACACCCTTTGGCTGGGCCACAATACAGACCAAGAAGAAGACGCGATTACAGTACGAGCCGTAGCGGCCTTGGTCTCTTTGATGCCCAGCACCCGCACCATGGAAGACTTTGTGAGCGAGTCCGATAGCGACTACACTAGCTACTGGAGGGACTGGGTAAGACGCATCTCACCTGTCGTTCTGCCTGCTGGATTGCGCACGTATCGCTCGCGGGAGGCACCCATCAACGTTGAAACAGATAACATGGGCGCGAAGCATGACACCAGCTTTACCCCTTATACTGCACCTACCTCCTGTCACGCCTCTTCCCCCCCTCGGCCATGACCACTTGTCGAGGATGCTCACCCTGGCTGCCACGACGCCCATCAAGTCGTGTGACGGCGTCATGTTTTTCGTTGTCTCTTGGGGGACACCCGTCTTGATTTGTGCGATCCTTTGCTGACATACCCTGCTGGATAGTTCATCTCGTCCCGCGGCAACGAGTACTTCTGCGAAATCGACGAGGATTACCTCACCGATCGATTCAACTTGACCGGCCTTAACACGGAGGTCCAGTACTATCAATATGCCCTCGACCTGGTCACCGACGTCTTCGACCTCGACTGCGACGACGACATGAGAGAAACCATTGAGAAATCCGCCCGTCACCTCTACGGCCTCGTCCATGCACGCTACATTGTCACAACACGAGGCCTCCAAAAGATGGTGAGCCATGCTCTTCCCGCTGAAACTCCCTCCCTATCCCTCTTATTCGCATTGCCCCCCCCCACCCCCCCCCTCCATCCCCTCGAGCTGACCACTTTGGCTAATCCTGCATCGATCAGCTCGAAAAGTACAAAAAGGCTGACTTTGGCAAATGCCCTCGCGTCATGTGCCAATCCCACCCTCTCCTGCCAATGGGCCTCTCCGACGTGCCGAACCTCAAGCCCGTCAAGCTCTACTGCACCCGCTGCGAAGACATTTACAACCCAAAGTCGTCACGCCACGCCGCCATCGACGGCGCCTACTTTGGCACGTCCTTCCACAACGTCCTCTTCCAGGTCTACCCCACGCTTGTGCCCGCCAAGAGTATCGAGCGTTACGTGCCCCGCGTGTACGGCTTCAAGGTGCACGCCTCCGCGGCCCTCATACGTTGGCAGAACCAGAAGAAGGACGACATGCGCCGCCGCCTGCGCAAGATGGACGTCGAGGTCGGATTCAGGGACGACAACATGGATGATCTCGAGGAGGTGAGCGGAGATGCACGGGTGACTGTTGTTCAGGATGCCACCGGACAAAACGCAATGGCGTGAACGGCTGAGGGGACGGATCATTGAGTTTTCCCCTTTTGGAATTAGTAATGACGTTATGAACGTTTTCCCTTGGCGCGGCCAGGAATTCCGTCCGAATGCACATCCCGAACCGCGCGAGAAAGAGCCAGGAAGATGTCTCTACGATGTGGAGCACCGGGGGGTTGGGGGTTGATTAACGTCTTCAATACGACGCAACAATTTTATTCAAGGCGTACCGCGAAGCTGCAATCATAACTATTTTTTTTTCAAGGATTCCCTACTTTCATGTCACTTTACCATGGCATTGAAAATGATTCGATTACACTGGGCGATGGTGCTGAAGCTGCATCAGTAATCATGGTAACCAAAATCCGGACGCCCAACGATACCCAATCTGCCCAAATTTTGACGAGAAAGCACAATTCTAAAGAGGCCGTTATTAATATCTGGCCTCGCGTTGGAGGCCTATATACCACACACCACATGCGCAGGATGCCGTGCATGAAGGTCTCTTGATCCACGGTCAAGTACCTAGCGAGCCTGCACAGAGATGTAAGGGTCAAAATGACCCATACTTTGGCCATCTTGACGGCTGTCGAGGCGTCGACCTGATGGTGTCTCCGAGGCAGGATCGAAATAGTCTGCTTGCTCGTGACCTTGATCACGATGATCAGCAGCGTGACCGTTGAAGACACGGTGCGTCGCTCTTGACCCGCTCGGGCTAGGACTGTGGCGGCCGTAGTTCTGTAGGCCCAGCGCTTCTTCCTCATCGCTGATCTTGATGAAATCCTTCTTGTCTGTAGCATAGCTGTAGGAACCGACCCCAGACCACCATGCCTTGTCGTGACTTCGGGGACCCCAGGCCCAGCCCGCACCGTTGCGGATAGGGAGGTGGTAGTAGTAAAACGCAAAGATGGATGTTAGGACACCGATGAGATAGCCGAAGAGGATGTCGAAGGCATGGTGCCTGTAATCGAACCACCGCGACCCTGAGATGAAGACGGACAAGAAGAACGGAACGACGACGATGCACAGAAGGTAGATGGGTGGTGCGGCCGCCTGTCGACGAAGAGCCGTGACCATTTTGTGGTGTTCTGCGAGTGCCTTCTCAGCGACAGCACCAGGTGTGCCCAGCGACTCATCTTGGGGGCCAAGACCGGAACCGCCCTTCTGAAGACGCGACGGAAATGCCGATTGGGATGTGGCATTGCCCCTGTTGGCGGCAAAGGGAATGGTGACAGCGAACTTGCTGGCCAGGAACAGAGACAGATAGATGAGACCGGCAGCCGCTGAGCTTGAGTGGCCGGATGGGTAACTGCGGAAGCCATCGTCAAGCTTGCTCGAGTCGGTGTTCTTGCAAATGTCGGGCGAGACCAGCATCCCCAAGCCCACTAGCTGCTCCAAGTTGAGATTGGAGGGTATGGCTGCTGATCCACTGGCGATGCCTCCGATGATGTACTGTTGAAAGTTGGCCAGGTCGGGTTCGCATCGCGACAGCAGGTCAGGTCGCGGCTTTCCGAACATGTTCTTCATTCCATTGGTGATGAACCACGCACCGACAATAGCCAAGGCTAGGCCAAGCAGGCCGACGTGCAGCTCCCATAGCTTCCGCTTCCAGATGAGAGACTTGGGTGTACCCTCGGGGACAGTGTTGCCGGGAACGAAGATCAAGCACACTAAGAGTATGATGAGGGCCGGAACAAAAAGGTTCAGTACGAGCAGAAGCCAGACAGGTACCGTCTCACTTTCGGTGAAGGGAAACCTGTGCAAAGAGTACAAAGTTAGTCTGAGATATGAGGCGCAGAGGACGTTCTCAACAGAGGACGGCAGAAGGCGACAGAAGAGAAAGCCAAGGGGTAGGGTGGATGAAGCGACGCGTGTAAGTCTTGGTATCTTGGCTGCAGGTCCCCTTTTCGGGGACCCTGATTTGTCTGGTGGAGAGAAAAGGGGAGGGATGGGGAAGAGGTCAGTGAAAGGCGGTATGCTTGTGAATGACTTACGCGATATTAGGGTCGACAAGAGAGAACGGACGCTTGTTTGGCTCGATGAGATGGAGACCGCCGCCAGCTCCTGCGACGATGACGAGAACGACCCAGTCGAAGACGTATGAGCAAATGAGGGAGGCTGTCCATGAGCGATCGTGAGGTTTCGTGAAGCGACCCTTACGCTGGGCTGATGAGGAATCGGGCATTTTGAAGTAGGTTGGCCTTGATGACGGCGACACACTGAGGTTGGTGAGGGGGATGGAGTCGGGCATGGGATGCGACGGTGCAAAAGTCGTCCTGGGGGGGAAGGAGGCGGCGGATGACGGAAGCCAGAAGGATAGCCCGGTTGATATACCTAAGGTCGGTAGTAGGTAGGGTAGGTAGGTAGGTAGGTAGGTACCTAGTGCGATCGAGGCAAGTCGCGGGTCTTTCCTTGGTTGCGACTGACCTGCTAGCGCTTGCGCTACTTGTCAAGAAGGGATGGTAAGGTTCGGGAGGCGCTACCGACGCAGTACACTGCTAAACTCGTTGCGTGGGATGGCGGGAAGCGGTTTGTGTGGAGGATTCCTTGTCTTTGCGTCGTTCCCAGTGGCTGGCTGGCGGGTGGTGTCTTGGAACTACACAACGCTCGCACAGCAGCAAGTGGGGATGAATGTCGCGTACTTGGTACCTAGTCAGGTCCGAGTCACATCCCGGGGGGAGCGCGAGAAAGCCAGAGAGTGCCGACGCGATAGATGACTCCAGGCACGACGACAGCTTTCCTAGTGTCGAGCAAGGGATGATGCAGGCGGTACGTCGAAGTGAATGGCGTCAAAGCTATGCGATGAATTCAGTGCATAGGAGGGGGGAGGAGGGAGGGTGGAAAGGGGGGGGGAGAGAGAGTGAGTGAGTGTGAGAGAAACAGAAAGGCAGATGTTGGCGCAGCAAACGCCCACCAATGTTGAACATAAACGGCCAGGGATCAAATGAACTCTGTGCTGGCCGATTGGCCTCTCCCAGCTTTCAAGTAAAGCGCCTCGCCGCGGTTAGATCAACCCGAGCGGCAGAGGGAGGCGCAGACGTTGATCATGACACTAGAGCAATGTTTGGAAAGGAACCATCCATGTTTGACGTAACCCTGCGTCGCCTGAGCCTACCTTAACCGCGTGCCTTGCTCGCCTACCGACTTTGACAGTCGCCCAAAGGTAAGATAACCTAGGTGCAAGCTTTCCCATCGCTCTGCTCCAAGCCTTCGTGATCATTCACGTGTCAGTGCAATACGGTCGCACCGACGTCGTGGGCAAAGTGCAATCGTAAGGCTTGCCTGGTTTGCCTGCCAACATTCCCCAAGCCCCTGAAAAAGGAGGGTCGAGACTGAGCCGTGAAAAATGACGAGTCATGACGCATCGGGCAAGTAGTCGCGTGGCAGTGCATCAGGCGAGGATCATTTCAGCGACTGCAACGCCTCCTCATTCAGAGTAGGTGCCTAGCTAGGGACCTACCTTACCTTGGTGCATGCACCAGAGCTGCGTAGCACATAACCAAATACGACCCCTACAGGGCCTCTTCGATCTCCCCCGCCACAAAGTCCGCCACCCGTGGCCCCACTGCGAAAACACATGAAAACGTTGAGCGCACGCCCAAACTCGTAACTTGCCAACCACATCACATCGCGAGAGTGCCGCAGACCCCAAATGGCAAGTGACCTTCGCACGATTATGAACCACAATGCAGATGTATTTACCCATTCCCTGATGAACCGAAGCCAAACCGACGCATGACTATGTACAATTTTGACACAGCTTCCACCACCGCCGACCGACATTCCCGACGGACACGGCCGAGTACCAGCACCTCCCAGCTCATCCAGTCCACGACCCCAAAAGGCGCAAGTCAGAGAGGCCAAAAGGGGGCTACTGGTCGGTTCGTCATCCAAACCCCCGCCAATCGGCGGTCCGTCGTGCCCAACTCCCACCCAGTCCGTCTTCGAAAGACAACCTCGACTCCAAGCGCCAATCGTGATAGGAAAGGGACACCAATGATCCCGTGTGCCAATCGACCAAGCCGAAACAAGACGCACACAAACAGAAATGAATAGAAAATAACAGGAAAAGAAAAGCAACACAGCCGTGTCCAATGTAGGCCTCCTTGTGCCTTCGAGGCTGCAGAGGAGCGGCAGATGCATGCTCGTCGCTGGAAGTTGTCTGCGCGCAATAATGACGCGTGTGTATGAGGAAGAGGATTGAGAGCATTGTCATCCGTCTATTAGTCGTAAGCGGAAGCGGGCCTATCATGAGCGATCCGCAGTGGTCCACGCCGCATCCTGACAGGAAGTCGAGCCATGATCATGATTAGTATTGACCGTAGTGACTGTCGTCTTCGCGTGTCGAGATCTGGTCCAAAGAGAGGTGTGTGTCCGTGATGCCGAAGTGGGCGGCCATTCTCTTCGCCCACGAGCGGGTCAGGATTGAGGCTGTTCATTGTAAGCATCACGATGCAGTGGGACAAGCGAAGATTGTACTGACCCTTGAGGAACTTTTTGCTAGCGTACTTCTTGAAAAAGGCTTCATGGACGACAGGACGTGCGAGGTAGTCGACCATCAAGTGAGCAACAGGCTCGACCTCCTCCTCGGTGTATCCGGCGTAGTACGCAATGGTTTCGTCCTGTTGGTACAAGTCAGATAAGGCACACCACATGGGAGTTTGGATGAAAGGAGCCATACCCATTCGCCACGGTCCAGGATCATACGAGCCAAGTACATAGCACCGGCAGCGACGTGGCTGGGGCGGTAGGCCAGGAAGCGGTGGTCAAGAAGGCTGATCTCGGTAAGATATTTGCCAATGGTGCGACACTGGATGTCGTAGTTATCGGCCTTGGAGATGCGTCGAAGGAAGTTCATGGGGTTCGGGTAGCTGAGGTCGTAGTTGAGCGTGCTGAGCAGGAATTGTTCGGCACTAAGAATTTCGCCCTCGGTGAAACCGTCGTCCGCAATCTTGCGGAAGTTACCAACATGAGGAGACATAACCTCCTCATATTTGGCCGCAATAAACATGGCTGTAACGCCGACCAGCTGCAGGCGATCCAACTGAACGACCTTTTCCGAGAGGAAGCGGTCGATAATGTTGATGGCCAGGAACAGGGTCTCGGGGAGCAGCGTAAAGCGGGTGTGAACTTCGATGAGCCAGTCCACAAGGATGCCGCGAGTCTTCCACTCCAGGTCGTCCTGGTGCTCCATGTAGTTAGGGTTGGGAACAGACTTGCACTCCAGGTCCCGCAGATACTCAAAGATTTCGTTGGCGTACTCGGCAACCATGAGGGGGTCGTCGAGGTCTTCACTGTCGAGATCCTTCACTCCGGCGGGCAGGCTGGGCTCGGCGGCGGCGACAGGCTCGACGTCGACGGTAGGCGCGCTGGCGTCAACGAGCTCAACCTTGTCCTCGGCGCGAACGCGCTTCTTCAGAGCAGGCTCACCATCGTCGACAGGCGTGGCTTCCTTCAAGGAAGATCCAGTTGTCGAGGGAACCTTGCGTTTCGGGACGGCGGCTATGGATCCAGAGCCGCTTCGCTTCGCATCAGGCTTTTTCAAGTCCTTCGTGCCATGGACGGGACGCGTTGAGGTGGCGCGGGAGTGTTGCTTCTGGATGCCGGTAGGTTGGGCGACCTTGGATACGAGGCTGCCTTTGCTAGCTGCCTTCTTGCCTTCGACGTTGCTGATCTTTCCCACGTTGCTCACATCCTCAAGCGCGCCGCGCTTCCTCTGGATGCCCTGGGCGTTCACAGTCAGGGCGGACTTTTTGGTCTGGAGCACCTTGTTGGGCTCGTCGATGCCTTGCGCGGCGGCTTTGGCGCGCGTCATGCGCGTAGAGCCACTGTTCTCATCATTCTCGTTCGAAACCAGTCGCTGCGTGCGAACCGATCTAGCCTATTGAAGCAGCACGTCAGAACCCGAAAACCCCATGAAGCCGGAGTCAGATCGGTCTCCTCGCCGTTGAAAATGCACAGTAGCAGGTGACAGGTACGTACGGGAGGCATCTTGGCTACGGTGATTAGAAAAGCCGTGTGGTCGACGTAATCGGACGTGGTTGGCGAAGAGTCTGAAGCAATAACAAGGGTCAGCGGCGACGCGTCAAGACGGAGCAGGCGCGATGGTGGGAAGGTCGGGAAGCTTCAAGCTGCTGAAGGCGACAGCGAGTTTCTTTGTACCTTTTATTCGACTCAAGCTTCGAGGTGCAGTGTAGGGAGAGCAATCGACGCGGAAAGGAAGCGGATTGCTTTTGACGTCTCAGCAATGTGTTCAAGGGATTCGCGTCCGGAGAAGCTACAATGCAGAAGAAAAACAATAGCAAAACACGCAAGAGGAAGGCGACAGGACGTCGAGGTGCCAATCGTGGTAAATCTCAAAGAGGAGGTGGAGAGGGAAAGCAAAGCAAAGCAAAGCCAGTCGAGGAAGCGATGTTGTTTTGCTTGGGTCGGGTAGGTAGTGGGAAGACCAGGACGTGAGGTCGTGCAGAGAGGTGGGAAGTGGGTAGAAGTGGATATGTGGTGGGTACGTACCCGTCTCTGGCGGCTGGCAGACGGCGGCCCGCGAACGTGAGGGTGCACCACGACCGCGTCTGAAAGCTGGGGCTGGTCACTACGGATACCGCGTGCCACGCTTCGAATTGCTGGTGCAGATGCGCTGTGCGGTCTGTGTGCTGATGCTGGCGCGTCGAAATTCCTTCTGTTCACAGAGCCGTTCGTGCCTAGTCAATTCGCTTGGGAACTGTCTAGAGCGTGTTGGTCGCGTCGAGGGAAGACTGAGCACCGTACTCGGTCTTACTCGGTGAAAGTGACGCAGGTAGGGCACCTAAGTAAGCGCCCGGCTGCAATGAGAATCTGCTGAAGGTGGAATAGCCCGCGTTGTGAGAGAATGCTGGGGAATATCTTCTCGTGAACGGTAGGAGGCAGGGCGGGAGGAACGAAACAGATAGATGCTGGAGGGTGGATGACGAGACGGGAAGTCAGAGGGAGGCTGGGCTGAAATATGGTTGACAATGCACAAGTCTAAGGGAGGGGTGGACGCGACGGCTCGCGCGATGCATGTCGTCGTGTCGGTGGATTCAGTCACGGTTCAGTTTGTAACATTCAGGCGCAATCCGTCTAGACAGTCAGCAGATCCTGCCAGGTGCTGGCAGCTCTTCTCCTGCAGCTAGGCATGCCGTTCCAGGGGATCTGGGGGTCAGCGTTCACATCAACAGCAGCAACGACCCAGCAACGGCCTGACTATTGGTGTCTCGACGCGCTTGCGACCCACCCTGCCGTCACACTGGGGATCGTGGTCCGTCGCGCCAGTCCTCCTGCTAGATGGGGCAACGAGTTGTGTGGCAGTGTCGCCCACCTGTGGCTGGAGAGACTCGGCAAATCATCGGGTGTAGCAAGCCAACCTGTCCAGCCGCATGGGCAGCTCAGGGTCACGATTCGAAATCTGCATCCGCGGTCCACGCTACTAGAGACAGGCCATCTCGACCTTGATAGCTATTGTCGGGGTTGTGCAAGCAACGCACCTATCTCCACGGCTGGTTCGGGCCAAGAAAAAGGTCGACCAAAGACTCATCTGTCGCATTGAGCTTCCTCTACAGCCAAAGCGGACTCGAAAGCAGAACAAAATCTCGAAACGTTGCCCATTTTCGACCAGCAATGTGCACCTGAACGACCTTTCACCCCTCACATTCTTGACACCTGCAACGCTCCCGTAGGCCCAGCTCCAGAAGCTTGTGCTACCGCCATGATGCTGCAAACGCGTCTTTTTGCGGCTTCGCAGGCCGCTTCAGCTTTGCGGCGATCTATAGCGCTGCAACCAACCTTCGCGCGCCAGTTTGCCTCCGTCCGGGCTCCGCCCAAATCATCCGACCCCAAAAGCATCGACAGCTCGAATACCGTCATAAGCGAATATGCGGCACCCGATTCCACCTCTTCCCCCGTTGTCAAGGACTCGGTTATCATGCGCACGTACAAGCCTCGCACCCCTGGTGTCCGTCATCTCAAGCGTCCCATCAACGACCACTTGTGGAAAGGCAGACCGTTTCTCGCCCTGACCTTCCCGAAGAAGGGCCACGGCAAGGGTGGTCGTAACTCCACGGGCAAGGTCACTGTCAGGCACCGCGGTGGTGGTGCGAAGAGGAGGATCCGGACTGTGGACTTTGATCGGAATAAAGGAGGTCCTCACCTCGTTGACCGAATCGAATACGATCCAGGTCGGAGTGCCCACATTGCCCTCATTACCAATCAGGCCAATGGTCGTAAAAGCTACATCGTTGCCGCAGAGGGCATGCGAGCTGGCGACATCGTCCAGAGCTACCGTTCAGGCATCCCGAAGGCCCTGCTTGATAGCATGGGTGGTGTGGTTGATCCCGGTATCTTGGCCGCCAAAACTGCCTGGAGGGGAAACTGCTTGCCGATGCACATGGTTCCAGTCGGCACGGTGGTCTACAACGTCGGCTCGAGAGCCCGTGGCCCTGCTGTCTTTTGCCGCAGCGCTGGAACCCACGCCATCGTGGTTTCGAAGGAGGAGGAAACCAAGGATGATGGCACCAAGGTCATGACGGGCAAATATGTCACCGTCAGACTTCAGAGTGGCGAGGTCCGCCGAGTAAGCAAGGATGCTTGCGCTACGATAGGGGTGGCGAGCAACCCGCATCATCAGTACAGGCAACTAGGCAAGGCTGGTAGGAGTCGTTGGCTCAATATTCGCCCGACTGTCCGTGGACTTGCGATGAACTCAGGTGCGCACATTGCTCCACGACCTAGCAACAAGCTGCGCAAAGAACATGCTGACAACATCATTAGTTGACCATCCCCATGGTGGTGGCCGAGGCAAGTCGAAGGGTAATCGCCATCCCACAAGTCCCTGGGGAACACCAGTAAGCCTCCTCTCTTTGAATCCACGCATCGACACGGTTGCTAAATCGTGTGATCTAGTCCAAGGGTGGTTACAAGACGCGCCGCAAGCATAATTTCAACAAATGGGTCGTCGAGCCTCGTGTGCGTAACATGGGCAAGAGGCGTGAAAAGGCGTCCAAGGCCTAATAAGAAAGTTCACGTAGAGCCGCTTCTGCTCATGAGAGGTCCGACTGTCTTTCCTGGGCAAACAGAAGGCGGTCTATTTGTTGTATGTGTACCAACCAACCATTTTCTGTACCATAGAGCACTGCCAGACCAGTGGCTGTACTATTCGCATCACGGATGCTATTCCAATGTAAACAATCCCACAGATGCCGTTACAACTGTGTGATTTGTTGTTCGGATGACTTGGCACCCTGGAATCAATGTCGGCTCTAGTGTGCTCAATTGCATTCGATGCGTTCTCGTCGATGCTGTCCATCGTCACACCTTGATCGAGCGTACAGCTTCTGCACGTGGGTAGGTCAAGCAGCCTGAATACCTGAACGATAAATATGAAACGCGTCCCTGTCTTGCTCCGGAGCTAACATAACGCCTCTGTACCTCGTGACGCCGCCTTGACCTGTTGATGGCTTCCTCGGCATACCTTTCGACTGCCGAAACCTCTCTCTACGCCTGAACTGGCAAAACTACGGTTTCCCTAGGCTGTCTCCCATTCGAGAGTGCACTGCCCCTCTACGAATACACATCATCAAGCTCATGGCACTCATTGCTGCTTGAGGACACTTTCTTGGCAGAAATTATCCTTGTGATTGACAACAATCAGGCCAACTTACAAGTCAGCATGGCTTTGGTCACGTTCTTGCGACTCCGTGTCTGTTCTCATACTACCTGGATCCAGATGCTCGTAGTCTTCACAGATTTACCAATGCAAACTACGGGCAGCGTGCCATGACAATCACGGATTTGGTGTCTCCGCTGACTCAAATAAACGGCTTCGCCGATGTTATGATTCCAATCGCACTGAAAAGCCGTGTTTGCCCTAACATGATTCGTAAACCTGCCCAAGAAAAAGTATCACCTCAAACGCCGATGCCACGATTGCTGACAAGTGCCCTCCACTATAGTTGCCTCATCAAATATACCATTGCCGTTATTTGCACCCATTACACCGTAGTATCCCAACACCCAGCCATCAGCGTGTGATGGCACCCCATCTGTCGGTCTTTTTTTTTTTTCCACTTGTTTTGCTCAGAAGTGAGCGATGCGCTCCTCGACGCTGCCCCAGTAAACAACCGGACGAGGCTCGAGGATGCTTAGCTCGCTGCCGAAGCTTCTCCGCTCTTCTTCCATTCCCAGGATGGACGGCTGGTGGTGTATGATGCTGTTGATGGTGCTAGCCGGCGACGAGATGACGCTGGCGCCACACGAGTCCCGGTCGCTGCTGGCGCGGGACGAGGCGGAGGACGAGCGGCGGAAAGAGGCCCGGAGGCTGCTGGAGGAGAAGCGAGCCGTGATGGCTTGGAATCGCGGAGAGGCGTGCATGTTGCTATTTTTCCTGGTTGACGTGCCACTTGTGCTGATACTCGGGGCTTCCTTGCCGGGAGTGGTCCGGACTGTGCGTGTATGAGTGTGTGTGACGGGAATGGCGACGCAGATTGCCGTGCGGGAGTCGATGTAGATAATGTAATACGAGGCACAGCCTATCGCCTCCAGAGACGCGGGAATCAAGTGTCAAACGAGAGTCGAGAAAAGATGAATGTACGATTAAACATAGGACCGTCCACACAGCAGACGAAACGATGGCCAGAGCAGGTTTCTTGGGGCGTGCAAATCACGGCTAGTAACTAATGTCGGTCGAGGGAGACCTTTTAATACATCCAGTCGACACGGGGAGGGGGCCTTCTCTGATCACCGACCGTTCAAACCGCTACAAGAACTCCAGGGGTTTGGAGCAGGCTGTTGTGATGGCCATTGACCCTTCTCAGGGGCTCGACGTGTGTGATCGCCGACCGGGGTTTGAGAGGCGGGGGGGCCCAAGCCGCAAGTGCCAAATAAGTCCGGTGAGACGGTGCACGGCTCGTTTCAACCAGACAGCCAGCATGATTGTCTCCAGGTGGCCACCCCATTCGGCTCGACTAAGTACTGACCTGCGACTTGTCTGAGATGCAGCTGGGGTTCTCGACTGCAGGAGTTCGAGTTCCTGCGGCGCCATGCAGGCAAAACCTTGACATCAAACCATCGTGCCGGCGGCGGGCAGCCCTCCTTTTGGCGTGATGGGAAGCTCCCAAACTGATCTGGTGATGCCTGCTCATGTTCAAGTGGGCTCTGTTGAAGCCCTGCGCCTCACACAAGGTAACCTCCTGCTGTACGTTAACTCTCCGATCAATACAGCCAATTCAACAGGCCTGGTCATAAGAGCTTGGTGCAAATGTTGTTTGTCTATCCAATCTAAGGTGCCTACCTACCCAGGCAGCTATGTCTGGAACGTCCACGACGGCCCGTTGACGCAATCCCTCGAACGCCATCGCTTAAAGACAATACGCACGCACCCATTCGGCCGTCACACTCATTATGCCACCCCGGATCCTTCTCCAACTTCAGTAATTGCTCCAGTCCGGCTTGCGTACTGTGGCGCTCCGCCTGATGCTCTCAACCCAAACCGAGTCGTCGAGGATATTGCTGACCTGCGCCGGACTAACCGCGCTTGTTCGTCGACTGTTCTCCCCCGACCCCAAGCCAGGTTCCTGTAGCTCAAAGCTAAACGCTGAATTGGCCGATTGATGGCTTGGCGACGACGGGCCCGACCGAGGGAAGCTCAACGGATGTTGGTATCCGCCGTCAAGGCCTGGTCCCTGGAGATCGGATGATCCTGACCAGCTCCTGTGATGGGCCCGGTCTGCGTCTTCCGCACTGAGCAGGGTCGACTTACCCTGGCCGCTTTGACGGATCGTTTGTGTCTGCTGCTTACTGCCGTCCTCGTCGTCCACGAAGATGTGCGGAATGTCCAACTGCGGGACTGCAGTCATCCGTCCCGCTTGCTTGCGTTCCTTGTGCTTCTTGAACTGCCGGGAATAGTATCTGGAGCATTGTCAGCATTCAAGGCCACAAGCCCGTGTTTAAGGTGATATGCCGGGAAACTTACAAAGTGTCGAAGAAGCCCAAGACAATTCTTCGCCGCACCTCTTCGTCAACTCGCTGTAACCTGGCGCGGCGGCGCAGGAACTCTTCCAGCCTAATGAGCGTTATCGGCCTGGGTCAGCATACGTTCCAAGTATTGACCACATCTCAATTGTCGCTAACCTTAGACTTTTGCTATCGCTGATGATGTTGTAATGAGCCAATATCATCAGGACAGTAGTGAAAGAGATGCCTCGGTCAGGGTCAGCTGAGACCATGACCTCTTCGAAGAAGATGTTGAAACGTCGTCTTCGTTCTCGAACTTTGACCACGTCAATCTGGGCTAGACGCCGGTTAAGCCTGTCGATATCTACCCCGCTGTAGGCGCTTGCGGTTGCTATCGACGTGTGTCTGGAAACCGTCGCATCGTTTCGTACATCCTCCAAGATGCGACTCACCGAGTCGTCCGCGTCGTAGATTCGCATTTCAAAAACTCCCGACAGCTCCCCCAGTAATCGCGGGAATACGTCTTTGCTGATCCACCCTGTCCCGGCTGGGTCGACGCTGCGCCACGCCTCCTTGAATCGACGAATCTCGTCCCGATCGACAGCTGCTAGACCGCTGGATCGCTGGTATACGTAACTGAAACTCTCGTAGATGAGCGAGACAAAGAGGTTCACAAAGATGTACATGCTCAGGATGTTCCAGGCAACAAATAAGAAACGCGCCCAAGGCTTGCTGCCACAGTCGCTCTGGAAGAAGTCCTCATCATCAACGCAGAAGGGTGGCTCAATATTCGCGTAGTCTTCCATCACAATATTCCACCCTTCACCGCAGCTCATGCGAAATAGTAGGATGAGCGCGTGTGGTACGGTTCGGAAGTTGATGTTACTACTCTCTTGCGAGCCAAATCGAGTGAGGCTGAATGCCTGCGTCAGCGCGATGGCAAAGACAAGGAAGAAGACTAGCCATGTTGCCAAGAGATTGCCAATCGTGGTCAGACTGGCAGCAGCTGTCTTGAAGAGCTGGTCAAGGGCGTCGTTTCTCGGGATGAGGAGGAGGACGATGGCGACCAGGAAGAATTTGTGAATCTGAACATATGTCTCGCCTTCAAGGATTGTCCCTCCGCTGGAAGCCCTGAGGATCAAGAGAATCGTAGTTGAGACGAATGCGCCTGCCACAGCAAGTAGCGAGTACATGTCCCAGGAACTCCTGCGGAACCGAGCCCAGCCCAGGCCGAAGATTCGGATGGAGACGTTCGCCATGTAGACCAGCACAAAAGCCAGGAAGAGGAAATCCCTCATCCGGGACCACCATTCGGGCTCTTCGCGGAATTCCATCATTAGGAGAACCAAGTGTAAGCACAAGACGTAAGTCATGCCTTGGTACCATTTACCCCTTTTCTCTATTGCGCGTTTGTGACACCACTTCTTCCAAGTTTGCTCTGAAGCATCATACGAAGTCTTTGACGGTGAGATATGTTGAAGCAGCTTTCGAAGCTCGAGCCACGATCTTTGTTCAGCCGTCAAGAAGGCGACTCCGGTCTGTTCAGTGTAGTTCCGCATGAAGACGGCAATAAATAGCGTCAATACGAAGACGGTTCCAAGCAGGTTGTAGACGATGAAGAACATGGCGTTGCCCTGGGATGCAAGGCTTTGGGGCTGGAGACCCGGGCCTGTTACGGCCTGTGCTGCGAAAGAAACATCCACCCAACCCTCTTGGCTGAGAATCGAAAAGAGAATGAAGATGGAGTTGCCAAAGTTGTCAAAGTTGAAGTAGTCGTTTGAAGCGACACGGGGCGCGAGCATGGGCCACTCGTCATTGAAAGGTGTGCTGTTGAATTCGCCGAAACAATCGACCAGTCGAATAATAGCGCCATCATTGTCATCGTTGCACGATATCATGAGGCCGTTGAAAAGATTGAGGCCGTAAACAGCGAACGGGATTAGTAGTGAGATGGACACGAAAGATGCCTGCCGAGAAAGTCCGGATTAGAGGAAAGTTCTCACGGAGGCAGAGATGGCGACTTACACTCAGGATTTTCCAGCCACTGACGATGATGAGGGAATGGAAAGTGTCTCTGGCACTGTCGCTGACGTTGAGGAGACGTAGAGCACGCAAAGCCTTGAAGGCACCGATTGCTCGGGATATCTCTCCATCTTTCGCCAAGAGAGTACCGACATTGATCAGGAGAGTGGCGAGTACGATACCATCAATGATGCCCCAGGAGCTTCGGTAGTAGGCGTTCGGCGTAAAAAAGAAGCCGTCCGCAATGACCTTGATCACAGCCTCCACGAAAAAGACTATCGCGAATGCCATGTCTGTCCAGACGTACCAGAAGGTAATACTAAACTCTGGATGCTGCTCTTGGTACTCTTTTTGGTACAGCGGGGTCGTGACGCAAGCAATGATTACCATCGCTACGATAGCAGCATAAATGAAGACGCTAAAAGTGTACCAGGCGATCTTGTTGGGCTCGACGCCATCGAACCGCTCGCTGCCTCTGCCGGGTCCCACCAACCTTTGACAGGCACGACGGAGAGGGTTATGTGAGGTCAAGAAGAATAGGGAATTGTTATAATTCGGATGACGCGCGAGATACTCTCTCTGGGCCTTGCGTCTCGCCGACGTGGCAGAGACAACCTGACGCGCCATCTGTCGAGGATCGAGTGTTTCATTGGTGCCCTCGAGGCGTATGTTTGAGTAAAACGGATTGGGATCTTTACCACTCATCCGCGCAACAAGTTTGCCCCACCACTTCGAGAGAAAGCCGGGCTTCACGTCCCCAACGGCGAACGTAGTTGCACGGGGCGCAAGATGCGCTCTCTCGTTGTGCTGAGTTCCTTGAGATGCCTCTTCCGAATCATCAAGGAAGTCTCGGACGACTGCGTCCTTGAGCAGCATCTCCATCATAGCTGGGCCATAGTCGAGGGGATCCTTTTTTCTTCTGGCTCTGCCGAACGAGAAAATGGTGGATAAAGAGAGGTTGCTCGATGATTTTCCAAGTTCCTTCTTTTGTAGAAATGCCTTAACTTGTTCCAATCGCTTTTCGTCCTCACTCACGTCGAAATTTTCCTGAATGACAGCAATAAACATATTGACGAGAATCAAGAAGGCCAGGATGAACCATCCAATTAGGAAGACAGCTCCGACCCAAGACGTACCGAAGGGCAGCGAAGTTTCGGTCACCTCATAAAGAATCGAGGTCCAGTCTTCGCTCGACAGGATTTGCCACATACCCAGAAAAGAATTGTACACATTGAAGAACGATATGTCTTCCTTCTGCGAAATCTCGCCGCGGAACAGCTGAACGGCAAAGAGCGCCATAATGAAGGTGATTAGGAAGACAAAGAGCATCAAGTTCCAGATACCCGTCGCGTTACCCAGAACCCGCCGAATGAGGTTCCCTGTGATTGGAACAGCGAGGACAACTCGGTAGATTCGAAGAATCTGAAATATGGTCAAGTAGGCGTACACCTGTCCTGCATTCCGTATTGGTGGGAGGAGGATTGTGGACGTCGTTACGGCCAAAAATAGATCGAAGAGATTTTTCCACGTGCTGTGGAATCTGCGCCAGTCTGCCGCGAATCTTATGATTATTTCCACGTCGAGAAGGAGGGTTGTGACGACCTCAGCGGCATCAATGAAAGCGGCGCGTCCACTGGACATCGTGGCGCTGCGGAAACACTGCGCCATAAGGCCGAGTGAGATGACAGCGATCCATATCAACGAAGTCTTGTCATATAGTGTTTGTAGACGAGACACGGGAAGCGGCGGCGCCTTTTCTTTTGGCGTAATGAGTGGATCTCGCTCCACGGTGAAAGCACTAGCTCTGCTTTCTTCCCTGATAACTTGGAAAGAGGACGTGATGACGGCAATGAGCAGGTTGATCAGCCAGAGCATCAGGATCATGATTCCTGCACCGAAGTACAGGGCAGCGGGTAGGTAATCCGAGTCTGTCGTGTAATACATGATGTCTGTAAATGTATTGGTACTCATGATTACGAATACCATCTCAAGTGACTGGAGGATATTATCGAAGCTCACGGTGCCTCCATGAGGATTGCTGCCTTGGAGGCATATTGATCCTCGGGGACAGATGAAGCCTTTTCCAGCAAGACTGCCGGGTACCAAAGTCGCCAGGTCCTCCTCGTCCTTCGCGAATACCCAAGGCTCGGTGCCATTGGAGGTTTGATTGAGGTAGCCGCCGCAGAACTGAAACTCGTTGACAAAAGCTCTGGACCGGTCCGCTGGCGCATCAGGGTCAAGCCACACGCAATGACGGCTCAGGCTAGACTTGAAGCTCTGCACGCCAATAATGGCAAATAGAAGCCAAAAGAAAATGATGAGGAAGGCGATTCGGACAAGTAGCGGCGCTGCCTTCTTCAGACTTCGAAGGATAATCTTGGCAGGTTAGCTTTCATAACTCACGTCGAGCAAAATCATCATCAACTTACTGCAGTTCCGTTCGTAATAGCCAGCAAGCGTAGAATCCGCAGGCAGCTGATCATTCGAAACACGTACATGTGGTGTTTACTTTCTAGGCCAGTGATCGCCAGGACAAATGTGATCCAATAAGCGACAACGGCGAGGAAGTCCAGCCGATTGAATGAGTGTCGCATGAAAGCTCGACGGGCGAGCTGATAACGCTGGTGCTCTTCAACCGTTTGAGGGACCGGTTGCCCTTGCATGAAGGTGAGAGACCGGGCGAAAGCAGACGGCCCCAAGTTGATCTGGCGAGGCGCCTTTACAGACTTTTGACGTTGCGGTTGAAATAGGGCTCTGTACTGGTCGGTGACCGCAGCCCGCACTCCTCGTTTGCGGTCGATGGTGCTATATTCTGAGGCATTCAGGATGAAACCAGAAACAATTATTCGCGCGACGAGCTCAAGTGTAAAAACAATAAAGAGACCAAGCATGGCGTAATCAATCCATGTTGTTCCCCATGTGGTAGGCCGTTCATTGCCGTCCTCAAAGACATTGGGGGCCGCCTCAATCGTCAGGAGGACCGTTTGGAAGATGATGAGGACGAGAATCATGGGCTCGGCGAATGGATGAACGAGGAAGTCGCATAGCTTCCTCCTAATAATACTTTTGGAAGAGAAAACACCCAGGGATTTGCCCTTGAGCGGGTTTGACATCGGGGGTCGAGAGGCTACACTGACATGCGGATCAACGGAGAGGAAGCCGCCTGCGGGTTCCTTCTCTACAGGATGTTGAGCTGTGTGCGAGGGGTAGGACGTATCCACGTTGAACATGTGGCCCGAGTTGTATTGTTGCCGTCTACGGTCCTCGCTCGGGGATCGCGATCGCTGGAATGACGTTCGATGGTCAGCGAGTTCTCCTTCGCCGCTACTGATGTTCACAACACGCTGTGACATGGCCCGCATGATGGACCCTGCGCGGTGAAGGGCCTCCGACGTGGAAGGAGAGCGAGATCGCCTATTGTCCCCCGGCGTCAAAGTCTGGCCGTAACTGAAGCGACCAGCAGCGCCGGGCTCCAGGTCATATCCAAGCGATCTGACATCACGGCCACGAGAAGGAGAGGCATCGATGTCGGAGACGGTCTGAAAGCTATCCCGTGGCTGTGCATCGGCCTCCCGAACACCCAATGATCGGGCTATGGGCTGGACATGCGAGGTGAGGGGTACACTATCCGACTCGAAGTAGTCCGGGTTTGTGGGCTCGTCGTAATAAGGATTTGGCGAATCGTATGGGTCGGCAGAAGCTGACAATGTTCGCCCGAACGCCGGTGGAGGTTGGTGTATCTCGGGCGGGAGGGCAAACTGTAACGCTGTTGGATCAATGGGTGATTCAGGGCCTAAGGGACCCTCATTAGGTCGAGCGGCGTATGGCGGTTGCCAATAATTTGAGAGCCCAGGTTGTCCCGCAGGTGCTTGATCTGGAGTCGGCGTGGTAGCCGAATCTCGAGCACTGTTGGGTCGGCCAGCCGGCGGAGGCTGAAGATGGCTGCTCCGCGGGCTGACCTGCTCGTCTGACCCAGATGTCATTTCGAGATGTTGTAAAGCGAGTGCTGGGCGATTCAGGGTATTAGGTGAGTCGGGGCAAGATGCTCGGCGAGAAACAAGAAGATCCAGTCATCTGCATCGAGAGCGCTCGTTGACGGGTATATCATCCGAGGTTTGTCCTGGGCTGCATTGCGGTACTAGAGCGGTATCGTCGTGTGTGCGATTGCGATGTCAGAAGAGGTTCGGGAGGGACCCAAAGGAATGCGCGTTGAAGGAAAGATCGCGAGTGGTCGCTTTGAGTGATTGGGATAGCGAGAGTCCAGACTTGCAACGCTCCCGAGTGTCGGGACGGAAAGGAGATGGATGCGACACCAAACTGCTCGCTCGAGAATCCGTCAGTGCCTGTTGAGTCCCTGGGAGATGTTGGACCTCCCACCATTCCAAGTGGATCTGGCACAGTGCAACACTGGTGCTATGTTTGGCAACCTTGGACATTCCCCTGCAGCGATACGAGATCGGCAGGAGGGCCAACAAACGTGCCAGACAGTGTGCGGGTCTGACACGGGACGGCCTCCTTGACCAAGGGGTGCAAGGGCCTGCCTCCCCAGAGGACCTGCTCCAAGAGCCGAACTCCCATTCCTGCATGGTCAGCCGCACTAGTCCATCAGCCCAAGCCAACCTACAGACTTTCAGTACCTACAGCTACACATCTTTGTGTGCCTCAACCCTGGAATCGAAAGTACTCTAAGGTATCTTCCCAACGCGTCTGGACAGCGCCTACCGTGCCTCAGCTCTGACAGCGATCTTTCGTAGGAAATCGACTTTACGCAACTACGAAAACCCCCATGCGGATTGCGTATGTCCGACAACCCATCAGAAGCAAGTCGCGATCAATTGAACGGACCTTTCTAGATTAACGACCATCTCCCCAATCCTCTGCGCTACTGCGACTCTGCTCAGGCAGCCGGAACCGAGAACGCGGGCCTGGGTCACCCACACCCGACACGCAACCTCATTCGCACAACTCCTAGCAGACTTCCGACACGCCTCTGCAACTTCTTTGCGCCTCACGAACCGACTATACAAGCCACAGCAAGCATATAGAAGTGTGCCGAAAGAGGACAACACAGAGACCGGCCTTGTGCCACTCTTCACTGTCAAGATCCTCGTCGTGACTGTGCGCGCATCATTGCCTCCGATACATGACCATGGTCTCCGGCAGCAAACGCGCGATCCACGAGGTCAGCGGCGACATCGTCGCGGATGAAGATGTTCCTCTGCTGCACCGCATCCGCAACATGTGGCAGTTCGCCAACCTCTGCCAGTGGATCTACCTTTTCGGTAAGGTCGTTAAGTTGGACGACCGGCTCGATACCGAAGTAGGTCACTTGCGTGCCGAGCCGATCACATCACTGTACACCGGCTTCCATCCCACAGCAACACTGACCAGGTGCCAGGAAATCGAGGCCGAATGTCTGAAGCCCAACTCGCTCGTGCCTCAAGAAATTGGACTGGCTCTCCTCAAGAATGTTTCATCTCATCGTGGTCTTACGTGGGTTCTACGTGCTATCCTAGCGGATTGTAATCGAAGACGACTAACTCGCAATGTCTTGCCAGCCACGAGATCTTTGACGAGTACACAAGGAGGCAGTACATGGCTAAGGCTCCCGAGAAGAACCCCTTTGGTACACAGGAAATACCGGCCAAGTTCGCAGAATTTGATGCGTTGACAAAGGTATCGTAGATCGCCGTTGACTTCTTTACTATCTTGGCGTGATCGGTCTGACTTGACATGCGCTTAGATTCGAGTACTGCAACAACTCACACAATGGGTGATGCGCCATCCTGATCGGTTGCGGGAAAAGATGGGAGAGCCCAAAGACGTTGAACAGACCAACTGGGTCAGTCTCTGTCAACTCACTCCTTTCAAACCCGCAAACCTCTGACTCGCTATACAGAGAATTGAGCCAATTGGCTGGGATGCTGATGACAGGACCTACTACGTGCTCGATGACAATAGAGTCTACCGAATGACTGACGCGCCACCTCCAACACCGCCCAAGAAGAAAACGAAAACCGCAAGACAAGGCCGTAGGGCCAGCAAGAGACGCAGGACCATTACAAGCGTGGAGGCCGACGACACAGATGACCCGATTGAAGCGCCGAATAGAGTATCAGAAGGACTAGGTCGCCAGGACGAAGACTTTGGAGGCATGCTGTGGGAATGCGTCGCCATCACGCTCGACGACGTACGTGGACTGATTGCTTCTTTCACCAAGACTCGAGACGAGAATGAAAAGGTGCTCAAATCTCAACTGGAAGAGCATCTTCTTCCCATTCTTGAGAAGCAGGAAGAATCGAGGAAACGCAAGGCTCTCCAGCGAGAGAGGGAGCTCATCAACCTATCGAAGATGGTCAATGCGAAGCGGTCAAGCCGCCTCGCCAATAAGCACGAACAGCAGCTCGCCGAAGAGCAAGCCCGCGAAGAAGAACAGCATCGAGCGGTAGAAGAAGCCGCTGCTCGGAAAGCGGAGCTGAAACAGATCAAACTGGAGGCGGAACGCAACAGGCGACTGGCTTCCCGGGAGAATCGCCTCAAAGACCGCGAAGCACGTCGCCTCAAGCACGAAGACGAGCTCTCCAACCTCTCGGAAGATAGCCGCAGTGCTAGTCAAGGACCTGGCAGGTTGTCTGATCGGCAAAGACGCGCAGAAATTTTGAGGACGAAGCAAGCCCTCCAGATACTTGATCACGAGGATGAGGGGGACGACTGGATCTTTGATTGTGTCTGTGGAGTGTATGGGCAAGTGGACGATGGCACTCATAGCATTGCATGTGAGCAGTGCAATGTTTGGCAACATAGCAAATGCGTGGGAGTGCGAGAAGATGAAGCCGAAGAGTCTGATTTTCACTTTATTTGCTTGTCCTGCCGACGGGCGAAAAACGATGACCCACAAGCGAGAACCACCATCCGGCTCAAGATCAACCGCCCACGCACCGATGCGCCTCTCGATACCGCACCGGACTTCGAACAGTCCTCGATAGGAGCCGCAGAGAAGAAGAAGCCTGCTCTCGACTTGTTTGACAGCAAGGCTGAACTCGGTACCAGGGCAGTCACTGATAAAGACCTAGACGAATCAAGGACACCTTCTGATCTCGAGGCACTCGTTCACGTTGAGCCCGAGCCAGTACCTGTCACCCCGGGCATGACGAAATCAGACGGCCTTCCGGCGACGAGCTTCCCGCCGCTCAACCATGCACCAGTCAACGAAACCCCAATGCTACGGGGCTCGACAAGTCCGATGCGACCGGCTGATAGCCTGTCTTCTCCCATTTCTCGGAGCATACTCGCGACCCCGATTCTCAGCCAGGAAGGCAAACGTGTAGAGGCGGCACATGCCTCGACGCTGCCCTCAACTGAATCCGGCTTCTCTCCGACTAAACAATCACCAGCCCCACTACCACGACCCCGATCAGCCTCCTCCAAAACCAGCAGCGTGCCTGCCGTATTTCCACCCACAATGACACTGGCACCATCCCCCCAGCAGCCAATTCTTACACCCCCTGAGAAACAAGCGGAACCTGCTCGACCACAACCTTCCGATGTTTTTCGAGCCTCGTGACGCATCTGTCACAATACTTTAGACTTGTCATATGAGGGCGCGGTGAGGCTGCGCTCCCTGGCTTGCAGGTCATTATTGGAGGAGCACGAATGGAAAATGGGTGTCAGCAAAGACCGGCAGGACAAGAAAGTGGCAAACTTAGACAGCGTGCCTACGCGGGGTTTGAGGATGCAGGACGTCAAGGTGCGGCCCAGTCAAGTCTGGTGCTGAGCAGCGCCAGCCAGGCAGAGACCAATACAGATGTATTGAGCACCTGCTGTACTACGTATCTATGCTCACTCAGTAGGCAGCAGAATGAATTGACGATGAGTATGCAGGTACGGTGGTAGCTCGGGTTTGAGGTAATAGTAGCGAAGGCGCCATGTCACGTCAGGCGTGGACAAGACGGTGGGACAAGCCAACCAAGCGTGCAAATCACTGTGTCTAGTGGAAGCTTTCCGGCAAATGACGGCCGCTACGCCTCAGGTGAATCGGTTGAGATTGCCAGGATGGTCTGACGTGGTGCTGAATTTCGCTGTATAATGGGGCCCCATATATCCTATTGAGGAAGATATGAATGGAATCGAAAAGGGAGAACCCACCATGGAAGGGGTCTGGAAGGGGATGCAGGGAGAAAGAAGCAGGCTGATGAATGAACGAAACAGGGGCCAGGAGGTGGGCCAAAGGATGAAGGACGAATAAGATGTCTGTTTTGAGTCTGTCATCGGCCAGGTCACAATGCAAGTCCCGGCGTATTGGCTGGCCACACATGATGGCCCTGGCACACCATGAACAGAGGGCGGAGGCAGACGGGTCAGAAGCAGAGCAAGCGCCACAACCTGCGAGATAGCGCCAAATGATAAAAAAAAAACATACTGGGGGACAGAACAATCATTTCTGGATGGACCTAGACAAGCGCCACATGAGATGGTTGGAGGTTGACCAATCGTGGGCGACGCCACCAACGGTTCCGGCAGCACCACGACAAACGCATCGCTCGGCACATTCCAACTTACCATCGACCCAGCTGTTCGCGCGTCCATGACATCCACATGGGTCACGTTCGATTCCACCGCCGACTATAGGCGTGAGGCAGCTGCTTCCACTCCACTTCTGCCGTGGAATACTTCCATCCGAGGCACCTTAGTCGGGGCTCAAGACAAGCTTCACAGCAGCGACCAGTAGCCGACACCAATACCAGGAATGATCTGGCACTGGGCAGGGTGGCCCTGAAACTGGGCCTGTAGCTGCATATTAATCCAGCTCGCCAAATACAACCCCACGGCTGTTTGCCGCACAGGCCCGGTTGATGTTTCTGTCGGATCAGTTGTGTGTCCACCGGGCACGCGCGAACTGGTGGAGGAGCAAGGGAGAGAGAGCACACGGGGAACCCGCTCTCAGGAGAGAGGCTCTAGGGCCCTGGGCGGCAACTAGGCCTCTCAATCCGTTGTTCATATTCCGAATGATTGTTGCCCTCCCTTGGCGCGGCAGTGCGCGATGTATCTGCCACTGCCACCGCGGGATGTTCTGGTTTCAGTGGCGTTGCTGGTCATTGCTCCCATTAACCTAGCACGGTTCAACCCTGTTTTGTTCTTTCTGTTGCTGTCGCAAAGTGCTGACAATACAACGCCATTGGAAGGGGGGTGTGCAGTGTTACTCTGTCGACTGCCACCCAACACTCTGTTGTGGGGGCGTTGCTGGTAGCAGCAGGGTCGGCATGGCGGAGACTGGAACTGGTGCAGACGCGGATGCAGACGCACGCACTGGCTCACGAAGGAGACGATTCCAAAGGAAAATGATAAGCTGAGGTTTGGTTCCCGGGTCGCATGGCACGCGGGGCGATGGAGAGGGTACAGTTGACAGACAACGTGGGAAAACCCTACTCGTGAGGATTGTTCGATATAGGTCCATCAAGAATGTCTTGGGGAAATAGCAGACGGCCTATGTAGGGCTGGATTGGGCTGGGCTGGACTAGGTTGGCCTTGCCAGGAAGGCGAGCTGTCTCCAGGAACGGCATGGCAAGGTCGACCAGTAAGTGCCGTTCGCCCCTCCTCCCCCCCCCCCCCTTCGCTCTACCTCATCACCTCTCTTCTCCCCCCACCTTGTTCCCCAACCATGACATCGCTTGTGATCCCGGATCCATGCACGGCCGAATGCGGCAGTACACTAGATGTCCTTTCGGACGAAGAGAAGCCAACCATGGCCGCCATCATGGCTAGCCCGGGATACTCCAAAGAGGAGCACATGCGTACCATACAAAAGAATCTGACCCCGATCCCCTCTTCATCCCAGCTCTCTTTCTTCTGGATTTAGATCACCATGGAAGTGATAACAAAGGAGGCCCCCTTGCCTTCTCTAGCCCCCGCTCTCCGGCCCAGGTAACCAACAAACCGACGACACAGACACACAGAGCCCCGGAAGAAAGAAACCATATACCCAAAAGCCCCTCAGGTGACAGCCTGTCACCCACGAGGCGGCCTGGTCGCCATAAAGAAACGACTTTCACTCCTAGCCTTCTGCCCTTAACGTAGCACACACCATTTCGACATTGCTGCAGCCTCCGGAGCAGCCGCCTCGCATTTCCGATTCAATCCCTGTCCGATCGGCTGCTTGCAAATCGTCCGCCAAGTCACCCTATTCCTGGATTTGCAGCCTTGGCTGCACTGGCGTGGCAGACAAACCACCTGAGACTCCAACTGCCTTACCTGACCTGCCTTGCCTCGCCTTACATGCCCCTCACACCCTCCCCCATATACTTGTATATGCAGGCATAGCGGCGTCCACCATCGACGTACGACATCTAATAACCTTCGACACTGGCTGCCACGATACCTGCTTCTTCTTCCAATCCCTAAACTCCATGATCTTCCTCGACCAAGGCATTCATCCAGAGACCTCCGCCCATCGTTAGGAACGCCGCCCTCATTTACCTGAACCTGGTTACAGCTTGGGTTTTGTCTCGCAGCATATACCGTCAGCTTCAGCATCTTGACAATTTTTTTTATCGGCGATACATCTGTTGGCCCTACTGCGCTCGGTCGTCTGCCCGCTTATATCCCGGGACCCCCAAAACCACACATCAGCCTCTTTGGCCTCACTTGGTTTTCGACGACGCAGTTGATAAAAGTGACACCTCGTTCTGTCATCGCCTTTACCCTTGCCAAAGGTACACCCGGTATCTCCTTTTGGAATGGAACAGACAGGTCCTCCCTCTCCAGCTCCCTCGAATGATGATATCTATCACGACGGCCTTCATCATCTGATTCGACACAATAACGCGACGTCATACCCAAGAGATCAGCCTTACCCTGAAGATAATCTCATGGGGCATCCAGCCTCCCAGTCAAGGTATGGGACCCCAGACCCACAGCATGATCGACCATACGACCACCCTTCGCCGTATTCCCACCGCGCCCAGGATGGGCAAATCGTGAGTCTCCCCCGCCTATTGCGTGTTTTAGGCTGTGCTGACGGTCTGACAGCCATATCAGCCAAGCTACGATCCAACAGCCACACCATACGCATCAATGAGCGGCATGACACATCAGGTAAGATCCATAGCAATAGCCTCCATGCTATCGACAGTAACTTATGAAGAGCGGCACAGCCCTACAGTACTCCGGATACGTCGCCCCCAACGCCCTCCCGGAGTTCGGATATGATTACTACCCGTAGCGGGTTGACCATTCAAAAACGAGCGACGACGATCAAGCCTCTCGCTGCCCACGCCCCTCGAGTGGAGAAGGCTTCACCGCGAAAGAAAAAGGAACGCAGCAAAGTATCGAAAAAGATGGACGGCGTCCAGAAGCCGCTAAGTGAGCTGGCGCGAGAGAATCCGCAGGTTTTTGTGGCAGACATCAACGCCTACGTGAACAGACCAATCGAGGAGCGTCTGAAAGAGGTCGAGGAGAGCAAAACGCCGGGCAAGATCAAACGCCCCATGAACGCATTCATGCTCTATCGCAAAGCATACCAGAACCTTGCCAAAAGCCTCTGCACACAGAACAACCACCAAGTCGTTTCGCAAGTTTGCGGCAGTGGATGGCCATTGGAGTCTGAACTGATTCGCCAGCAATTTAACGACTGGGCCAAGCTCGAGCGCCTGAATCACCAAGAAGCTCATCCGGGTTACAAGTTTACGCCTTCGAAACCGAAACCTAAAGCCCGGGTGGAAGACGACCAGCCGTCAGATGATGGGAACTTGGACGGCTTTGACTGGTCTGCAGGGCCCATGTCTTCGAGGGGTCGGGAGATGAAGGCACGCAGGCCCCAGGGACAGTACGACGCCCCACCTTCGATCTATCATTCGTACGCTGGCGCCGCGGGAAGTCCGCCTATGGGCTTTGGTACCCCATCTCATTCAATGTATCAATACAGCAACCCTGGAAAGCCCCCGCCGGCTCCTTACACTCACAGTGGCCTACCACCCGGTCAGTATTACCAACAAAGCGTACAACAGCGACATGATGGTGTTGGCTTTGTAGAGGACGTTGTGATCAGAAGGCCTCAATCACCAACCATGGCGTTCGCCTCCATGCCGCAGAGTGAACGACATGACGCGATGGGGCATTTTGGTCATTTGCAGCACCACGTCGGCGGATTGGATTCATTTGTTGAGACCGGAATGATTGGTGCGGACGCCTTGCCGTACGGCGCTGGTGGTTACAGTGACCCGCTTCTGGACGGTCACCACAGATGGCCGAACCCTCTCGATCTGAGTGACGCCAGGCAGGACTTGATGGACGGAATTCCCGGAGGGATGTACAACGATTCTTACTTGGACCCACAGTTGCAGTTGCTGCGAGGCCAAGATAGCAGTTGGAAGGTGGAGGAGCTGGACGGAAGCCATTTCAACAGTTGGATGGATCCGTCAGAGTAATCGCCAGAGTACTCTTGAGCTTACTGTGTTTTTTTTAGCAGCATTCCATCAATTGCAACAAACTTCAAGGATGATTGACTAAGGGAGCGGCAGGTCTCCGAATTAGACTGGATCTGGAGTTAGGGGCGGAGTTCCTTTTACTTTTGTCATTTTTTGGAGCACCAAGCTGGAGATATGCGACACGCCTTGCATTTCGATTCTTAGATGATGATGGTTGCATTTACGGTTGCGGCGAATTGTGCGTGGTGTGCGGAAGTATGGAATGCTAGACGGGCGTTCCTCGATTCGTTTCCGGACATTAGATGCAAAGAAAGGACTGCCACTTGCACAATGGGATTGTTGGAATGTGGTTCAGAATAGTACATAAAACGGATATATCGATATTTTCTTAAGAGCATTATACAGAATATGGTTTGTGCTATCCCACCTACCTAAGGTACCTAGGTAAGTAGGTAGTGTGTCAACTGGGTATCTTAGTGGAGATATGCTCGGGCACGTTAGGGTCCTGCCAAGATGTCCCCCATTGAGGTATCTACCTTATGCGACTTAGGTAATCAAGAACAACCTCGCTCGCCAGCGATGTGCGCTATGATGCCACCCCACACAAGCTACCTGCGCTCACTCGCCGACCTCATTAATTCTCGCCTGTGATCCCGCGATCCTGGACAACTCCGAAACCGATCGAGAAAGGGACAAAGCTTGCAACGATCTCAATCAAAACAACAAAAATCTCTCAGCTCTCTTGCCTGGTCTTCTAAGCTAAACAGCACCACCCGCCTATCAAGATGACGTGGATCTCCCGCTCCGTCACTGCCGTTGGACTTCTGTTGCTAAGCCATGCGTGAGTCGTGGATTCATTTGCAGAGCATCATCCTTCGTAAATTGCTGACGCGTGCCGTTTCTCTTAGTTGTTACTCTGCACAAGAACACTCGACGCTCCAGTCCTTCGGCGCCACATCATCTCTGTCCGCGACAAATCCAGGCACCTCGCTTCCCGCCGATATTGTCATCGAGACAATCGTCGCTACTCTTCTGGTGTGCCTGGGCATCATCACGGGCGCCTCCAATTTCCGACCGATTCAGTGGCGCGTGTGGGCAGGCAAGATTGAGCGCGAAGGTGAGGTTGGATTTTTGAACGGCAGCGGAGTTTCCGACAATGACTATGTTGGCAACCCATTTCGCATTCTCGAAAGTCGGCCGGGTTTCGTCGATATTCGGAAGGAGAGGCGCGAGTTTGCTAAATGGATCAAAGATGGCGATAAGTCCAGCACAAGCTGAATATCAATCCGGGAAAGGACTGTCATGCGGGGTCTGCTCCCTGTCAGGTGCAGGTCTGAGAGTGTTAGCGACGCTGTAGGGGCTACGCGAACTGCATAACGTGTCCGGCCACGCGTACGTCTTGGTGACGACGACGCCAGAACGGTCGCGGCGCAGAGGTCACTGCCAGTCTATGTATTCGTTATGCCGTCCATCCGCGTTTCGGATGGTGGGATGGCTCGATTCGTCATCCTATCCGTTCAAAGAGCGCTGCGTTGCATGTAACATCGCTGAAACAACTTGAGCACCCTTTTTTTCACCATTTTTACCCGATACATTCGTGTTAGTATGCCGCTCATGTCTTTATGCTAAGGTTTCAAGTAGAACGAAGTCTTGGCCACCTTGCATTACAGAAGTCTCGCCGAGGCATTCCCAACTGGCAGGTGCCTACTCATCCTCATCCACAAGCATTGCCAATTAACAACGTGTTGGCCATGCGGCAAAATGGAAACATCAAAGCACAGCAGCTCTCTGCGCAAGTACCGTCTCCATGTCTTTGCTTGTATTGCTGTGTTGGTATTCATCAGACACTACCTAGGCAGCAGCCACGCGATCATGCCAATTTGGTAATCAGTTGCGTCATGGGGATGCGTATTTCCCTGAAGGCAGCAGCACCTGTGGATCAGTCGTTTCCTCGTCTCCTTGATACATGCCTACCTTTCCTACCGCCTTGGGCAAGGTAATTTAAAGCATGGGACCTTGGTGGTTATATTCAACAACAATAACGAACTCCTATGCCAATCGAGAATCCTGTCGTACGACATCGACGTGTAAGAAGCTAACACGCGCTGAAGGTCATATCTATCAGTTTTCTCCGCACTATAGCAACTTTGCACAGTCGTGTCCCAGATGAGTTGACTGCCCTGCCCTGCCCTTCATTCTTGCAACACCAATAGGACACACTGTATACCTCCGGAACACTTCATCACGCCCTTGCTCTATATGAAATGCCTGTGTTCGGCAGACGATTCTCTCATCACCAGCGAGCCCGCGGCGGCTCGAGCCAATGCAGAGGCCAAGTCCACAGCCGCGGACGAGGTCGATTCTCGGGGGTAATTGACGTCAAACGCAGAACTGACGAACGATTATCAAGCGATCTATCTCATATGCCTGTTCGCTTTGAAGGGTCTCGTTCTGAGCGCAGTTTCCACGCGAATCCTCATGCCCAGCAAAAAGCTCTTCCAAGCACGCCACCTGATGGCTCAGATGAATCCTTCAGCCGCCCCTTTCGGCCTTCCGAACAGGCACAGGTATATGCTCCTGGAACCACTGCCGAGAATCACGTGAACAACGAGAGCAACGATTTTTGCGAGACAGCCAATGCAGAAGAAGTCGTTTTGGCCGTCAGCTTCATGGAGACGGGCATTTTAGGATGCGCCTACTTTGCCACCAACACCCAAGAGCTACGGATCCTTCACGATATGCAACATGCCGATGTTGATGTTTTAGAGGCTCTTTTGGCACACGTCCAGCCTACAGTCGTGTTACTGCCCCTCAAGACGCCAGAGGCCGTCGTGGGTCTATTTGAAAGGCATGCGAATATATGGGATGAAGGTACCTGGACATGCGACTGATTCATTTTTGCAGTCGCTAAGTCTTGTTTGTGTAGGCTCCAGGCAATGCTCATACGCGATACGAATGCTGACCTCTGCCGATTTCAGTCATAGCAATGCTGTGAAGCGACTCGCAAACCTAATATTATCCTCTATGTCGGCTCCAGGAGCTGTCGTACGACCTGGTCTCGCTAGTAGCACGACGAAGAGCTTCGAATCCACCTCTGAGCTACGACTACATTCTGCCATCATCGGGGTTACACGACTGAGCTCGTTTATCGACCTCGATAGTCTGTCATCGGTACGCTGAATTCAAACTCTCACATAAACCGTGCGAATATTCTTCCTCACCCATCGTAGGTCGCTTGTGCAGGGGCAGTTCTCGGCGAACTCTCCCGGCGATACGATGGTCACGCGGATGATCCAGGCCACATAAGCTGCCGCGACTTGCAAATGTTTTCTCTGAGCGACTACTTGCTCATCAGCAATGACACAATGTCATCTTTGCAAATATTACGGTCAGAACCTCACCCTAACAGCCAGGCACGGGGTACAGGCAAGACTTCTCAGGGGGGTAAAGAAAGCCTGTCGATATATGGCCTATTCAGCGCCTTGGCGGGAACCACACAGGGAAAGACAAAACTCCGTCAGATAATCGTCAGGCCTACCGTCGACCTCAATTTGATCCATGAGAGACAGCGGACTATCTCGTTCCTGCTGCAGCCGGGAAATACTGAAACCTTGGACACAATATGCCGAACTCTCCGCAAAGTGCCAGATATACGACGAAGCATTACAAAGCTTCGGAAAGGCGTAGATTCTACGTCTTGTCGGGGATCCTTTGATAGAGGTGTATGGTGGACCTTGAGGCGGTTTGTTTTGGGCGCTTTGCAGCTGAGAGAAGCGATCAGAGGACTAAGCCCAGTGGGCGAGATCATCTTAGTTGAGACTGTAGAGGACACCCCACAAGACCAATATTTATCAACATTATGCTGACCAGAAGCACAGATCGTTCGCGTAATATCCCCGAACACCATGAAAGAATTGGGCGAGGCTGTGGGTTCAACCATAGACTTCCGCGATTCTAGGCCAAATTCTCGAGTCACAGTCCGGTGGGGGGTCAACGAGGAGCTTGACCGACTCAAGCGAGACTACAACGGCATGGAAGATTTGTTGAGTCAGGTGGTATCTGATCTTTCTAATGAGCTTCCGGAATGGGCACGCAACATCGTTACAAGTTGCATATTCTGGCCACAGCTTGGATTCTTGACCATGGTTCCGCTCTACCCTGATACCGAAGAGCCAATGTACGACGGGCAGGGCTTGGACTGTGACAACTGGCAGATAATGTTCTCTGCGGAACGGAAAGCGTACTACAAGAACCGTCGGATGCGAGAGCTAGATGCGCATCTAGGCGACATGTACGGGGGTATTCTTGGTAGGCCAAGTGATCTCAAGCTGCGTTTACACACTGACTAGAGTAAAGATCTCGAGGTCGAAATCCTCCACAACCTCGCCGTCGATGTCATGGTACATGAAGACGCTTTACTGGCCGCCGCCGACATCTGCGGCGAGCTGGATGCTTTAGTGGCAATGGCGCTTGCGGCAGGGAAGTATGGTTGGACAGCACCAAAGTTGACGATGTCGAATGTCCTAAGTATCCGCGCTGGCCGGCATCCACTGCAAGAACTGGTGTTGCCTCTTTATATCCCTAACGACTGCTATCTGTCCGGAGGCGAAGATCACGAGACCCCGGGCCTTGGACATGAATCCCGCAGCTCAGGACATTCACCGATGAGCACCTCTACATGTGCCAGCATGACCGTACTAACAGGGCCGAATCATTCGGGGAAAAGCGTCTATCTGAAACAAGTTGCTTTGATCACTTACTTGGCTCATGTTGGCAGCTACGTTCCTGCGGAGGAGGCAATCGTTGGCCTGACAGACAAGATCTTAACGCGACTATCAACACGCGAAACCGTCTCAAGGAACGAGAGCTCGTTTGCTGTAGACCTCAAACAGGTAGCATTCTGCCTCAAGTCAGCCAGTCGCCGAAGTCTAGTTCTTGTTGATGAGTTTGGGAAGGGAACTACAAGCGACGACGGAGCAGGATTTATGGCAGCCTTGGTCAATCATTTCGTCTCGCTGAGGACCAAGAAACCTCGTGTGCTCGCGGCTACACATTTCCATGAGATTTTCGAAGGGCGCTATGTCAGTAAATCTCCGTACCTGACGCTTGCGCACATGGATATTCGTCTCGACTCAAGTGTCAGCCGACTCGACAATCAGCTCGTATACCTATACAGACTGTTACCCGGAGTCTCTACGGAAAGCTTGGGCGCTTTTTGTGCAGCGCTGAGTGGGGTTGACAGCTCAGTCGTTGATCGCGCAAACAATATTGGCCATATCCTTTCAAGTAACGAGGACTTGAACGCAGCATACACTACACTCGATGCCGAAGACTTCAGTAGACTGAGGGATGCTGAGGATGCCGCCCGACGTTTTCTCAACGTTCCGCCGCGCAACCTAGCCATAGGTGTCGTCGGGGACGTTGGGCACGCCCGGAACACTCTGAGGGGTGTTCTCTACGAAGACACAGGCTCGAACTGCCACCCGTGAGAGACTGCTAATTGTAGTCAGATGTCGCTTCAGCAGCATCTTACAGTGTCCTGCACAGATGGGGAACTGAGAAGTTTTGGACCGCAGGACCTTTAGCGTCCAGAAAGGCGGCGCGAGCACGAAAAATATCTCATGGCTTGCATTGTCCTATTCGCACCTCAAACACAGCACTGTACATTATTGCGTGCAATAGGATGCTAGGATCGCTGAGAACACGTGAACCTGATATATTATATTGCTATGCCAGCCGTGTTTGAAGCCTGGGCCTCATTCCTGACAGAGGCAAGGGCGAAGGATGCGGCGAAAGGGGTTGGGAACCGCGTTGAAGCTGCTAGTGTTCCGTCAATGCTGATCTACGCACGACGTACTATCACCCAAATACATACGTACATAAACCTAAATTTGTGTGTAGACCAATCAGCAACATCATGACCGAGCGTGCCGCATAGCATCAGCACCTTAGCACCTCTGTTGATGAAGTCCCGAATGGGCCGTCGAGCCAGAAAGCCATGGAACTGATGCTTCGTTTCCCCCGCTTATGCAAAAACTAAAAGAAGAGGAGACAACCTCATGATAAAGAACAAGGTTTTATCATGCAACGCAATCCCATTGAAAGACATAATTCGTGACAACGATGGTTCCCTTGACTGACGGACAAAAATAGACGTGGGATACGTCATTTCAACCCCAAAACCCAAGCATGGCGACCCCGAAGCCGGCTGCGACAGCGCCGCCAACGGGGTATGCCGTGGGCTTACCCAGTGAACCTGACTCGATTACAACTCCGTTTACTGAAGTAGGCTGGTCGCAGTGGGACGGTTCAAGGCCGAAGCAAGCTTGGGAACTGAGGCTGGAACAGACAGGCGTGGCCGATGTGCCGAGACTGGGATGGTTGGCGGCGACAGTAGTGCCCCCTCCACCGGGAACAACGATTGTGACGGCGAAATCATTGCTGCCCCCTTCTAGTTTCGTGACGCACGTGTCGTAGTTCTCTGAGCATTGGCTCAAGGCAGATGAACATTCACCTTGGTCGAGAGATGTCGCCATGTAGGGGAAGGGAAAGAAGCTGTTTGCAACAAACGAAGCAGCCGCAGTCGGTTGCCCGGCTGGAGAGTCTGGCGCTGTGCCTGTACATACAGCTCTGTACCATCAAGTAAATTAGCCCTGCTGTCGGATGTAGTCTCTGAGGCGATTCATCAGCTTACCCGGACGGACAACAAGCCGGTTGATTGCTGTCGTCAAGTTCGCAAACTTGGTTGTTCTGACAGCAGATGCCGCTGAAGTCTGTGCCTAAAGAAGTAGAGCACAAGTATGTGCCAGCGGGGCAGTCGGCACTCTGTCTTCGAAAAAGCTGGTGGGCTGCTGCGTAATTGTCCGCTGATGGTATATTTAAAGCTGCTGTCGAGGGTGTTGTTGGAGTTGAATGTGACCCTGCTGAGACAGACAGCCAAAGGGAAAGCCCCAAGTGCAATTGTAACAAGCGGTGTTTCGCTGTAGTCATCGAGCGTAAGTTGGCTTGTAGGAGCATCTTCAATATGGGGCTCTTGTGCAGCTGGGAGCGGGGTAGAGATAAGCGGGCCGACCGATACAACGCCAGAAGAGCGCTGTTAGAGCTTGTAGCAACTTTGAAAGGGCGTAGGTGACGAAGCTGGGGAATCGCAATCGTAAACTGGGACAAGAAAGATATGGCCGATATATGATGACCGTTTGTGGGTTCATGACCTCAATGCCGCTGATACGAGTGGCTGGGCGAGTGCTGGGTGGCTGGCGAGCACACAGAAGGCCCAGCTCGTGCAGGCATCAGGGTAGGTAGATTGCATGGCAGGCGAATGCACTACTTGATTGGTTGAGTAGCCTAAGCGATGTTGGCTGGGCAACTAGTGTGTCTAGCACCGTGGTAGAATGCCCAGAAAGTGTCCTCTTCAATCAACGCGAGTCTCGAACATGAGCCAAAATCTGCCTCAATCGACCCAGAGCCCTCATATCTGTTGCTGGGCTGTTGCTTATCTGGTCCCCTGTGTCGTTGAGCTCATTGCGGGCAGCTTCTGCGAGAGGCCCCAAGTCTCCCCATACTTCATCAGTGTAGGAGCTGAGGACATGTCTCCAATCTGCGAGCCAAGTGCTTGTGGCCCGATGACGATCTCGAATACCAAGATGCTGATAGCTTGCATCCCTGTCGCCCGCGATCAGGAAGTCTGGCTGAAAATTTAAAAGTTCGTCCCAACCCTGGTCAGTTCGCTCCAAGGTTTGAGACTGGTCCTCCCCAAAGAGAGCCGACCTCAGCGTTGCGATTTCATGTGGCGACAGCACAGGCGTTGAGTCCAAGCTGTCACGTGTGATGATGTCTTGGGCTTCCGGAACCGACAGAAGCTGTACTGCTTCAATGCCATCGCGACTTGCTTGCACCTCCCATTCTGATGGTCCCCCAGTGTAGCCAGAGAAAGCTGGGCGCATCTGGTTCACGAGCTGGTGGGTCGATGAAGATCCTGGGCCGACTGACGATGAAGTCGTTGTTGTTGGTGAATTGATGAAGTCGTTGTACTGACTTTCTGAAACACGACTGTGCTCAGGGCTGCTGAATTTGTTGCTGCCCGTGTTTCCTTGCCTCGAGAGGGGCGGGGATAGCGAGTTCGCTGTCGCTGCCGCAGAGGTGAATGTCCCGCCAGATGATTGTTGCTGTTTATCGCTAGAAGTAGTTCCAAGCACTGCACTCTCGGGCTGTCCACTGATCACTGTGCGGGATAGGGCCGTGGTTGAAGCCTGGAGGCGAGAGACTAGCGAGGGCGATGGTATCGTTTTGACTTCTGAATCCAGGGCGAGAAAAACGTCTTCTGTATCATGTTCCTTGCCTTTTCTCGAAGCCTTCCCACCAGGATCGTTTGAAATTGTCATAGTTGCGTGTCGACAGGTGACAACTACTCAAAGGATGTCGAGGAAGATGGAGGTTATGTGCTAATGGGCATACTTTTACCGAGGCTGGCACATTAGCTTAGGTAGGTAGGTAGGTACCTGGCATATGGGGTGCAGTCGGCCCCACGGTTCGTTCAGCCGATCTAATCGATACGGGCCCCAACGGATATGCATTCACTTGGTTTAGATGAGCGAAATTCCGTTTTCGGGGCGATGTAGTTATGCCATAAGAGTCAATCGACATACGGTTATCCGTTGTCTTATCATTATTTATGCTGTGTACCCAGGCATACTGGGTGGGGCATTGCCGTCGAGGTAGTGAGGTCCGACCTAAGCAGACACTGGGACCACCGCCCATCCCGCACACCACACTGCTGCACCACGTCGAACCCAACCCACCTACCTGACCTCAACCGCATTACTCGACGATTACCACCACCACACCCAGACGCCGCCCTGCTGGTACACACCTTTCCACCCGCTTCCACTGCTGTAGCCCAAACTGACTGAGGTAACTGGTCACCACCAGTCTACCTTGATAGGAGGTAAGGCAAGCTATGACTGCATGCCCGTCGTCTCGGGGCTGTCCTTTGGCTTCAACTCCCCTCTAGCCTTCCGGTTCCAGGTCCCTGCCCCTCCACCCAACCAACACGCACTTGCCCTTCCCTGAGCTGCATCATCGCCGCACGCGCGACCTACCTACCTACCTACTGAAGCCAGTGTCTCCAGACAAGGTAGCTAGTTGCCTTATTTTCTTGCCTGTTACCTCGTCACGCTACTCGCGCATTTCGTCACTGTTTGGTAGTTGCTCGCCGCCTTCCACCGCTTCTTGCTGTCGTCCCCGTCCCCCATCCAGTCCTTCGATCACTACTCAAACGCAACTGACAATCGACGCAGCTGCCGACCTCGCGAATTCCCATCTCTTATCGCTCGCCGACCATCGCTTGTGACACTCGCACGCACGTCACCCCTTTTCTCCTCTAGGCGCTTGAACCACACAAGCACCTACCTCAGCATTCTTCGCTCACTCCGAGGTGCTCAGCTCCGAAAGACAACTTGCTCCCGAGGACGATAGCTGCAGAACCACTTTTGGACCTGGAAAGTCCACGCCTCTAGGCCAACCATTTGCCACACTGTATCCTTGAGGCAAACGTGTCTGTCTGTCGATTCCCAGTCGTACTCAACTCTACCCCTCCATCGGCACTCGCGGGAAAAATGGTAGACAGCGATACGAACTCTCCGACATGGAAGTTCACGCAGTATGACGCCCTCTCTTCTTCTTGCCCATCTGCCTGTCGTGTGCGGGAAACGTCCTGGGATTGAGCTGACCAGCACTTGACAGGTGCTTCGGCGACAAAGGCGATGTGGAAGATATTACTGAAGGTGAGTCGATCCCCACATGATACTAGAGCACAACCCTTTCCAATGTCGTGGAAGTCTGACGACTGACTCCTTGCAGCCGATATCATCTCCACCGTCGAATTCGACCATACCGGCAACTACCTAGCAACGGGAGACAAGGGTGGACGTGTTGTACTTTTCGAACGGAATGAGACAGTAAGTGGCCAACACATGCAAATTAGGTGATCGCGTTCTTATTGACACCCCTTCTTCTAGAAGAAGACATGCGAATACAAGTTCCACACAGAGTTCCAGTCCCACGAACCCGAGTTCGACTATCTCAAGTCCCTGGAGATCGAAGAGAAGATCAACAAGATCAAATGGTGTCGTCGACAAAATGCATCCCATTATCTTCTGTCGACCAATGACAAGACTATCAAGCTATGGAAAGTCTTCGAAAAGTCACTAAAGGTTGTCGCGGAGAACAACTTGTCGCACGACCTCACCCCAAGCAATGTCGCCGGCGGCGGCGGCGCACCCAGAGCGCCGCCTCCATCTCAGTTCAGAAACGCAACTGACCTCAAACTGCCCCGCCTCACCCACCATGATACTGTCGTCGCAGCCGTGCCGCGACGGACATACGCCAACGCTCACGCGTATCACATCAACAGCATATCGGTGAACAGCGACGGCGAAACCTTCATCAGCAGCGATGATCTTCGCATCAACCTTTGGAATCTCAATATCCAGGACCAAAGTTTTAACATTGTCGACATCAAGCCCGCAAACATGGAAGAGCTTACGGAGGTCATCACTGCCGCCGAGTTCCACCCCCAGAGCTGCAACTGGTTCATGTATGCGAGCTCGAAAGGCACTATCAAGCTGGCTGACATGCGCGAAAGTGCCTTGTGCGACCAGCATGCAAAGTGTACGTTTAACGTTTACTCCTGCATTCTAGTATCACTGCGGTAGCTAACTTGAGTTCTGCTTCGTAGTGTTTGAGCAAGAAGAGGATCCTTCATCTAGGTCGTTCTTCTCCGAGATTATCTCATCCATCTCGGATGTGCGATTCTCCTTCGACGGACGCTACATCCTTTCACGCGACTATCTGACAGTCAAGATCTGGGACATAAACATGGAACGACAACCTGTGAAGACAATTCCGATCCACGAACACCTGCGACCTCGCCTTTGCGACACATATGAAAATGACAGCATTTTCGACAAGTTTGAGGTCGTCTTTTCTGGCGATGCCAAGAATGTAATGACAGGCAGTTACAACAACAACTTTATGATCTACCCTACGGATCCCGAGAAGGAGGTTGAAGTCGTGTTGCAGGCCGACAAGTCAGCCTTCAAAGCGAAGAAGGTTGGCGTGCCAACACCGATTAACGCAGCAACCAGCCCTACGTCGACAAACGGGAAAAAGAGCGGATCGCGTGCTGGTAGCCCAGCTGCTGGGGCCCAGGGTCAGAGAATGCGTAAGGAGACGGATGCTGACCAAATCGACTTCAACAAGAAAATTCTGCATATGAGCTGGCATCCTTTCGAGGATAGTATTGCCATCGCAGCAACGAACAATGTAAGTTGACTTGCCCTTGTTGAGTTTTGCTTTCGGGGGTCCCAGCTTCTTTCGAAGACATACTAACTCGTGACCTGAAGCTCTTCGTCTTTTCGGCCCTGTAAGCTATACGAATTGCATCGTCGAAAGGCTATCCGTGCTGGGCCGCATCATGTGGCGCATGCTGTCAGTGTCCGTGGTCCAGATGCCGTCGATCTCCCGACAGCTAATAGATCATGCTGCATGGGTCTTGGCATTGTGAGCACAACCTTAGCTGAAAGAATGTGTGCACCGTCAGCGGACGAACATGGTTCTTCCGTTTCGGCTGTATTCATATGATACAAGCTATATTGGCAGACACAGGGTCAAGTAGATGAAGAGAGGGGGGCCGGGCTGTGAAGACACGTCTGCCAGATACAGCCGTGCACACCTAGTGAGCATGCTTACCGAGGTGCTCTCTCTTCCGCCCCTCAGTAGCGACTTGATAGCGAATAGGCCTAAAGCGAAGTTCATGACAAGAACAACTCTCCAGTTTCTGTGCATTGTCTGTGGTTTCTGTGTAATTATCTAGGTAGATGTGAGCCGTATGGGTATGTTGGAATCACTGTGTCTTAACCCCTGTTCCGGGCTCCTAATGAGTCCCCTACAAATACTCAACTTGGTTAGAATGGGGTATTATGGTGGGGCGACACGTTACCGCCTGCCGACCAGTTACTCACTAAGGCGTCGTGCGGATTAACGGGACACCTCTGTCTCCAGAAACTGAGCCCCCAGCGCTGGTCCGTCGCCCCTCATTGGTCATCCTAGCATCCTCTCTGCATCGTTCGCTCCCACGGTCAACTTTCCTTTCATGTCCCGACTGCGTTGTAGGGCGAGACCATCTCGATGACTGCAAGCTCGACAAGCAGAAGACGTGGTCCGCCGCGGGGCACCCACGAAACACCTGTCACGGAGAAGGCCCAATCGACTACTCGACAAACAGGCGCTATGCAACCCCTGAATACAGCAAACGAAACGGCCGACACTGACCACATCGACTACGAGAAACAACACGGCGAGCGTGACATGCAGGCATTGTCGCAGGGGCCCGCAACGCTCGCAAGACGCTTGGCTGTCGATGCTCTCCCACAATGGCTTGCAATTGGGGTCATGCTTGGTTTGATCTTTGGTGGCTGCTGTTCTAATGTGCGTAGCTTGTTCCGTTGCACCATTATGCTCGATTGGCGAAGCGCATCAGGCTGATCTTAACGATGTGTAGGTTTACGCTCTTGAAGCCATTATCAAGTCAGTTTGTAGCTTATCAATTGCCATTTGCAAACACTAACCTTTGATGCCATTAGAGTTGAGCCTTCGAGCGGTATGCCCTCCACGAAACCATCTCGTCACGATCACAGTCCATATCTGACATCTATCAACCAGGCACGCTCTTGACATTCGTGCAGTTCTTGTTCGTAGCTGTTACTGGGTACATCTCACAACTTGATCGCTCGCGACCACCATTATTCATTCGGCCAAACAAAGTTCCTCTCCGCCGTTGGATGGTGAATATTTTACTCTTCTTCAGCATCAATGTGTTGAACAACCATGCGTTCAGCTACGACATATCAGTCCCTGTTCACATTATCCTCCGATCTGGCGGAAGTATCACTACTATGGTGGCAGGATCTTTGTACGGCAAGCGATATTCGCGCATACAAATTGTCGCCGTGCTCCTGTTGACCGTGGGGGTTATTACCGCGGCCTGGTCAGATTCACAAACAAAGGTAACAATTCATCCACGACCAACGAGTGATGTGGCCTGTATCACAGTTGTTAATGATTTTTTGCCTCCGATAGAACACAACAGAATCAACTGAGGCTAGTGCTGAGGCACGAGAAGCTAAGCCAACATTCGGGACTGGCCTCGTCATTCTTTTCGTGGCTCAAATCCTGTCTGCAATCATGGGTCTCTACACAGAAGAGACGTACAAGAAGTATGGCCCTCATTGGAAGGAGAACCTCTTCTACTCTCACCTGTTATCTCTGCCGCTCTTCTTGCCCTTCCTGCCTTCTCTTGTGAGACAGTATGGAAGGCTGGCCAACAGCACTCCCCTCTCACTCACACCGTGGGCGGCTGGCAAGTCCGAACCATCTGTCGACGGAACTTCTGTTTATCTGAGCGGAATCCAAGTACCCAGCCAGCTTGCCTACCTTGCTATCAATGTTCTAACGCAGTACGCATGCATTCGAGGCGTCAATCTTCTGGCGGCAGCCTCGTCCGCCTTGACTGTTACAATTGTCCTCAATATACGGAAGCTGGTCAGTTTGTTGTTGAGCATCTGGTTATTTGGGAACACCCTTGCCACTGGAACGTTGGTAGGGGCTGTAGTGGTGTTTGGGGCTGGAGGCTTATACTCGCTTGATTCCAAAAAGAAGCCAACGCGAACGCAGCCGAAGCAAGACCCCGATATGAAATAGACAAGCTCACCCAGCTTCAGGTCACATAATGAGCCCCGAGGTCAGACGAATGGCATATTGTCCATATTGTGGTTGTTACAAACGTGGCCTGAAATGGTGCTGTACTGAGGTGAGTCAGGCTCAAGGGCCAAGCAATTAGTTTTGAGTACCTAGGTTTGGTTCTCTGGAGGCTTGTCCAGTTAAAACATACCCCCGTAAAAGAGTCTATTCTTGCTCTCACCAATGTTAATGGCTTGTACGACTCGAAACTCCATGATTTCGGTAAGGAGTGCAGCTACCGAGAAAATGATTTGATATTATGCGTTTAAGAGAAGCGCTATATATACTTAGGGGGTATCGGCGGACGCCGCCGTTGGTCAAAGCTCAGACACTACCAGATCGATTTCAGCAATGCCTCAGAGTGGGACGCTCGTAGTTAGGCTGCCTGACTCAATCACAGGGTCCTTCAGGTCCACCAGCTTGTCTGCTTTATATCAGGGCTATATACTCTGGCGCGCCCATGCGACGGCGTACCTGCTTTTGACCCCAGCTCATACATTTCTTTCGATCAAGTCATCAAACGCTCAAAAAGGTCGGTCCTACCAAAAAGTATACGACGGTGAGAGCTGCGTGCCCGAGTAGGTTTATCACTATGGCTGGTAAGAACTTCTCCTTCCCTGTTCGATCCTCCACGCATCTACTCAATACGGAACCGGTTCCATCATAACTAGTAAGTCCCCTCACCCGTCTCGCTGCCTGCGGACTTCCTAGAGCGCAAATTTGACTGACCCCTCTTTCAGACGTAATCGTCTCCCTCAAAGACCACATCGTTGGCCTATCGTCGCCCAAGCGGGGCTCATCTTTCCCCAACCCCGGTGTAGAATCTGATGAAGAGGGCCAGGCGGTAGCGCAGGGTGTCGATGGTGATTCAGACACAGAGGAACCTGATGGGGCGGTGAGAGGTGGCGATTCCTCCCACGCGCATTTCGACGAGAGTCCGGCGAATGGAGATCTGCAGGAAGGCATGCTTCCGCGTGACCTGCCCACGCGCACTACTTACTATGACCCTGTCGCTGAGCGTCAGTTGAGTCAGACGGATGCCAAATTGTTCTACCAGAGAAGTCAAATCGGTCAAAAGAGCATTAGCGGCAGCCCTATGGTTACCGGTCATGAGGCTTACGACCACACCAGCCAACCTCCACGCATTGATCATAGACTCGGAGAGCCAGCTCTAGGCTCTATCATGCAGTCTGTCGCCAAATTAGAGTACGAAGGTCAGAGCCCTTCTCGGGGCGATGTGTTTCCTGTCCATTCGGGCAAAGCACCTCTACAAGATCAGGCACAGATCCTGGAGGAGACGCCCCGTCCCACTGCCGGCAATGAATCCAATGCGGCCCTGGGCGCCTTCTCTGACACTGAACCCCACATCACATCTGAGCTCAGCTCCATATCGAAGGACATACAAGACATATTGGACATGAGACGGAAATATATCGAACTCTCTCTTCAAGGTCCTGACGATAACCCTAAGGATCAAGATGACTGGGAGATCTACCCACCACCCCCTGAGCCAGCCTGGGCTCATCAACATGGGACCAGCGCGGGGCTTGCCACGTCTGGCAACAGTGCAGTGAACAGCCTGCAAAGCAGTATGGTGCTACCAGCAGCCGCCACGGGCAGTCAAGTCCCTGGGTCAGCTGACCCTGACATCGACCACACTCTCAAACGATCAAGCAGGAAGAGAAAGCCTGGACAGAATGTTGGCGAGGACTTCGTACCAGAAGAGCTGCTGCCAGTTCCTGGCGTCACAGAGATGACCTTCAAACTTGATGATAGCGGTGTCTATCAAGTTTTCGACAACAAGGATGAAGAAGCCAATGGTCAACCTCTGGTACAAGTTCCTACCATCCGTGAGTTCTACATGAACCTTGATCAAATTCTCAGCCTTTCATCGGACGGGCCAAGCAAAAGCTTTGCATTTCGACGTCTTCAATACCTAGAAGCCAAGTTCAACCTATACGCCTTGTTGAACGAGTACCAGGAGACAGCAGACAGCAAGAAGGTGCCGCATCGAGACTTTTACAACGTCCGCAAGGTTGATACACACGTTCATCACTCCGCCTGTATGAACCAGAAACATCTCTTGCGCTTTATCAAGAGTAAAATGAAGAAGTGCCCGGACGAAGTTGTACTTTATCGCGATGACCGCCATCTCACCTTGGCTGAGGTTTTCGAAAGCATCAACCTCACCGCCTACGATCTCAGCATTGACACCCTCGATATGCATGTAAGTCGTCATGGCAGAAGTGGCTGGTTAAAGGATTCATTCCTGTCCCTTACTAATTGATGTCAGGCACACACCGATTCTTTCCATCGATTTGACAAGTTCAATCTGAAGTACAACCCCATTGGAGAATCGCGGCTGAGAACAATCTTTCTCAAGACTGACAATTTTATCGACGGCCGCTATCTGGCCGAAATCACGAAGGAGGTCATTGCCGATCTTGAGTCAAGCAAGTACCAGATGGTTGAGTGGCGAATCTCCATATATGGCAGGTCGCTCGATGAATGGGACAAGCTTGCCGCTTGGGTCATTGACAACAAGCTATTCTCGCACAATGTGCGGTGGTTGATTCAGATCCCTCGTCTGTATGACGTGTATAAAGCAACCGGCCTCATGGACACCTTTGAACAGGTGGTCAAAAACGTGTTTCAACCTCTGTTTGAGGTTTCCCAGGATCCGTCGAGCCACCCTAAACTCCACATCTTCTTGCAGAGGGTGATCGGCTTCGACAGCGTTGACGACGAGAGCAAAGTCGAGCGCCGTTTGTTCAAGAAGTTCCCTGTCCCGAAGGTCTGGGATTCCAAACAGAACCCGCCTTATAGCTACTGGGTGTATTACATGTGGTCAAACATGGCCTCACTGAACGCACTACGCAAGCGCAGAGGATTCAATACCTTTGTACTGCGTCCTCACTGTGGTGAGGCGGGTGACAGTGAGCATCTTGCCGTCGCAGCACTCTGCTGCCACAGCATTAGTCACGGTCTTTTGCTGCGCAAAGTTCCATTGTTACAGTACATCTATTACCTGGAGCAAATCGGAATCGCTATGTCTCCGCTCAGCAACAACGCTCTCTTCCTGGCATACGAGAGAAACCCTTTCTACCAGTACTTCCGTCGCGGCCTCAACGTCTCCTTATCCACGGACGACCCGCTCCAGTTTGCGTTCACTAAGGAGCCTCTCATGGAGGAGTATGCGGTGGCTGCGCAGATTTACAAGCTCAGCTCCGTAGACATGTGCGAATTGGCCAAGAATTCGGTCAAGCAAAGTGGATATGAGAAGTCTGTCAAAGAACAGTGGCTCGGTCCAAACTTCCATCTTCCTGGCAAGGCCGGTAATTCGATGGAGAAGACAAATGTTCCCGACCGCCGTGAAGATTTCCGTCACCAAACGCTGCAGCAGGAGCGAGACGTGTAAGTTGCAAGGCCCTAAGGTATGCAACAGGTACTAATATATTGCTCATAGGTTACAGCAATACATAGCCTTCAATGCTCGGCATGACACGGACCCGAGCGGCAAGGCACAAGGGCAGAACACAGCAAAGCCTGCGTCAGTTACGCCGCAGTACGTCAACCAGAATGAGCCTGCTGCGCATGAAGGCGCGGTTGTCGCAACTCCGACACGCATGTCGTCGATGACGGAGTCGCCAGGTCTCACAGAGAGCTTCAGTGACGTTCATATTTCGGGTCGAGAACCAATCATTCTGCCTGGTGTGGTAAGCAGAGGAACAAGAAGCGACAGCCTCCGACCAGCAGAAGGGTCTTGAATGGAACAGGAGGCGTTGCTGTTTAATGTGTCGTGTCACTGCAGGTCCCACAAAATTGTACTCGCTCTAGGGAACCTATGGAGGAGCAAGGAAAATTTGTCCTGGCTATCGTGTCAGATCACCATCGTTGCCAATCAAAGAAAAAGATACATTTGTTTGGGTGCTTTTCCTACTGCATGGTAGTGGCAGGTAAATGTAGTTGGCCATGTTAAATTGCACTAAGATGTATGCGAGTGGAGTGATGAAGACGTCATCTACAAAGTGCTCGCCTATGCGTTCCAGAGAGGGCGGGAAGCACTCGGATTGAATTCAATATTGTCTAGATGAGTATCCATATGGCGTAGAAATGGATATTGTCCTGCATAAATACGTGCAAGTGGGTAGGCCCCGCCCGCCGCTCCTACTTGTAGGTAACTGAATCACTTGTCGGCTTTGGGTACCCCCTCCCCGGCCCCTTTATTACATGTTCATCTTCGGGCCCCAAGTCTAGAACCAATTGGGTGATTCCCGCCAAGCCCGCCTGTCCCGCCTCGTCGGGCTTGTCAACAGCTTGCCAACCACCAGCTCCAGCCTGCCTGCTAAACCTGGCTACTGCCTGCCAGACTACACAGGACAGGCTCAAAGTTGGTCGGAGATCCTGTTCTGACAGTAAGTCGTACCTGAATTTCGGTGTTCCTATTCTGCCCTAGCTGATGGCCCTCTCGCGTGACAAACAGATTGACGCCATCAACCGAACACTGCCGCGCGGTCTGCGCCTCTTCCAGACACCTTCCTCATAAACAAGAAGACATCCAGCATCAGCGAGCGATTGTCTCTGCGACACATTCTCCCCCGCACTAAGCAATCGGCCGTAATATTCTACACACTCTGTGACCGTTCATTCGATGCACGCGTGCTGCTAGGCCAGTTGGACATCAAGAGCCACTCGTCGTTGACGCATACTCAATGTAGGACCCCCTTCGGCCCAGTGACTACAACTTCTCGCATGGCAAGCACGTCCAAGTGATGCGCTGATCAAACAACCGCTCTTGTACGCTATGTGTACCTGTGGACTGCTTCCTACTTGAGGCAATGTATACCCCCATCTACAGGTGCTGAGATCGTGCTTCCAGGTTTTGTTGACCGTGTTGTTTCCCAGATCGACCGCCTTAGTTTCGAGTTTATTCTCTGCAACCACCACGAGCACACTGCACGAGACCAAAAGTCGCCTATCTGCGAACAGCCGATACTTCTACGTACTTCGTCGCCCTTAGCAAGCACGTCCGCTATCTTCCGTCTCCAAACCGAGGCCGCGAAGCCCGAGTTGAGGTCATCCCTGTTCGACGTCCCGAACCGACGACATGGGGTTCCAAGCCGTCTGCAGAGCTCTATATGACTATGTGCCGCAGGCAGATGCCGAGCTAGCCATAAGCGAGGGTGATTTGCTATACATCCTGGACAAAAGTTCGGATGACGGATGGTGGAAGGCCAAGAAGAAAGCCAACACTGACGATGGCGATGAACCGATTGGTTTGGTACCGAACAATTATGTGGAAGAGGCAAGATGGAGATGAGTACAAACCAAACAACTTCGACACGAGCTAACCGTCTGTACAGGCCCAGCCGCAGGCAAAAGCTCGCGCAGTATACGAGTATACTCGTCAAACTGACGAAGAATTGTCTTTTCCGGAAGACGCTGCGCTTTTAGTCTACGATGCATCAGATGAGGATTGGATACTTGTTGGCCTCGGCGACGAATATGGCTTCGCGCCCGCCAACTATCTCGAAATGCAGGATGGCGCCACCGAAGCAGCCGCTGTGCCACCTCCAGGGCCTCCGTCCTTGCCAGTACGCCCGACACCGTCCGCAGTGGACGAAGACCATGATTCTGCCGATCGAGCTGCCGCCTTTTCTTCTTCGCCCCCGTCTTCTCATGGCAACCCAGCTGCTGCCTTGGCAGGGGTCATGCAAGGACGCTCGGCACCTTCGGCAGCGTCGCCGCTGACAAGGTCGCCCACATCGCCGTCATACCACGCTGCAGACGACGACGACGGAGGTAGGATTCAGTCCCCCGAACTACCTACCAGGCCACGTTCTCAGATCAGTTCTCCCCCGCCGCACGATTCTGCACGCAGGCAGACCAGCATATCCGATACAAATATCGCCCAGCCACCGGCGCAATATCTCGCGTCGGGAGGGTTCCATATGTATAACATCAATGAGATGGTGTCGGTCATGGGAAAACGTAAGAAGATGCCAACTGTTCTGGGCATTAATTTAGCAACTGGAACCATCCTCATCGCGCCGGAGAGGACACAAGACGGCCCCACACAAGAATGGACAGCAGAAAAGATGGTTCACTATTCGCGTGAAACAAAACACGTCTTCTTGGAACTCGTCAAGCCGAGCAAAAGTGTCGATTTTCATGCCGGCGCCAAGGACACGGCCGAAGAGATCGTGAGCGCTCTCGGTGAGCTGGCTGGAGCTGTTCGAGCTCAAGGATTGCGCGAGGAAATATTCGCCGATGCTGGCAAGGCTCAGAAGAAGGGTCAGGTTCTTTACGACTTTGTTGCACAGGGGGATGATGAGGTTTCAGTATCAGTTGGCGATGAGGTCATCATCCTCGACGATGCTAAAAGCGACGAATGGTGGCAGGTCCGGCGACTGAAGAACGGCAGTCAAGGTGTCGTGCCGAGCAGTTACATCGAGGCGACTGGCATAACCTCGCCAGCAACTAGGGCATCAAACTCGAACGCTGGTCTGTCCACAGTCGAACAGAATCGTCTGGAAGAGATTCGATTGACCAAGGAAGCCATGAAAGCTGCCCAACATGATACACAATCACAGGTAGGGCCTGGTATGCCACTGCCTGAACGCGGCAGTAGTCTTACGGCAAGAGAAAGTGTTAGTAACTCTGGGCAGCGGAGCAAGCGCGAGACAGGACGAGGTGAAGGGAATACGCAAAGGAAATCCAGTCAGTCGCACAGGCCACGGCAAGTCATACATGTGTTTGCTGATCAATTGGTAGAACCCGACGCAGCCAAGGTTCGAACTTGGACTGATCGGTCAAAGTCCTTCAGCGTCGACGCGCAATTTCTCGGCCTGAAGGATGGCAAAATCAATCTGCACAAGATGAATGGCGTCAAGATTGCAGTTCCCATCGCCAAAATGTCACTGGAAGACCTTGAATACGTCGAGGCTGTCACTGGCATCTCATTGGACGAAGATAAGCCACTCTCCAGTGTGAAGAGGAACAGCAAGACTCCCGATTCTCGTGGCACATCCGGCGCAGCCTCAACTGCCAGGTTGGGAGCGGGCGCATCTGTTGAACAGCCACCACAGAGGCCAGAGTACGACTGGTTTCAGTTTTTCCTGTCATGCGACGTTGCTGTGGGCGTATGCGAACGTTATGCACAGGCATTTGCCAAAGAGTCCATGGACGAGAGTATACTTCCTGACGTTGACGCCTCGGTGCTGCGCAATCTTGGCCTTCGCGAGGGCGACATCCTCAAAGTCATGCGTCATCTGGATACAAGATTTGGCCGGACAGGTTCACGCGGAAAACGCAATAAAGATGGTGCTGGCTTTGATGATGATGGTGGTGAAGGTGGTTTATTCTCGGGTCCTGGCGGGGCTTTGCGCAATAATACCAGGAAGGGCAGGCCTGCACCTGCTGTCCAGACGAGCGACGTGGTAGATGCACAAGCATTCGGTGCCCGAACAGAGAACAAAGCACCGGAGTCTCAAAATGTGCAGACTCGGGATGGGAACGGCGACCAGTCCAAGGGGGGGTTCGATGATGATGCTTGGGATGTCAGGCCTGGCAAATCGGCCGAGGAGCCCAAGAAGGTGCAAGCGGAGCCGACGAAGCCGACGCCAGCGCTGACAGGGTCCATGCAAGAGCTCTCTCTCCTTACGGCGCCTCTAGAACCAACAAAGCCACTGTCGAGCCAAACATCAGGGTCCAGTCCTGCCACACAACCGCCAGCGGTAAGCCCACAGCCGACTGGTGCCACGCCTGCTTTCTTTGCACCTGCCAACATGCAAAACACTCAGCAAGCTCAACAACAGGCTGCGCAGCGTCTGCGTCCTGCTCTTCCCCAGGCCTCGCCCACCCAAAGCTCTCTTGTGCCTCCACCACCAGCCCGCCCATTGTCAGCTCCTCAGTCGGCGCAGAACAGCGGATTCGCGCCTCCAGCACTGGCCCCCCAAATGACGGGTCTGAACTATCAGACACGGGTCGCTCCTCCTGGCCAGAGTTTGGATGAGGTAACTCAGGCACGACTTCAACAGCAATTTCTTCAACAGCAGCAGATCCAGCAGCAGCAGCAGCAGCAGCAGCAGATCCAACAGCAGCAGATCCAACAGATGCAGCAGTTTCCAATGCCTGCGTACAGTGGTCAGCACCAGCTCGCGTTCCCGAATGCTGGAGTACAACCGGCGTCCCAGTTCGTGTCAGCTGGAATGACGGGCACGATTCCGCCACAGGCTACCGGTCCCTTTGGCGGCATCAACCGTCAACCCCAATTCTCTCCTATGCAGCCTCAGGCGACGGGCTATGTTGGACCATATCCGCAGGCGCAGCCCTTCAACCCGCAGCCTACGGGTACCATTAACAGTTTCTTGCCACCAGCCTTGGAACCACAGCGTACTGGCCTGCCTCCTTTCCAGCCCCAACCAGCCGGCTTCACTGGTAATGGTAGTGCGGCACAGACACAGCCTCTTCAACCTCAACAGACAGGGCCTGCTCCTCCTGTGCGATTCGGAGTCACGGGGGAGGCCAAGAGGCTCGCGCCCCAGCCCACAGGTCGACGAGCAAACCTGTCTCAAGCCAGTATGTTAGCCCCCGCTTCCCATCCTCCTCAAAGCAGAAACTGACTCTTCACAGCGCCTAACAACCCATTCGGCTTTTAAAGCAGGTTTTTGTCTAGTCGCCGTTTGTACTCTTTTGGTTATGTCCCAACTGGAGCATGTGCCTGACCACCGCACGAACATGAACACGTCAATCGGCCGTTATGGTTGGTTTTGATCACAGCCTTGATGTAGATATTCTGGTCGCCGAGATGGTCCGAGATATTGCAAAGGAGGCCTCGCGTTTCCAATGTGTTTTGCTTCGCTCTATTTAATAAATACGACTGCTAGAAAAAAGCATCCGGCCAATGTATCCCACCTCTCACGTGACAAGGTCTCCGCACCAGTATTGAGAGCAATGTGGATGTTGGGGCGCTCTCAACTCAAGAAACACCTGAGCATGCCTGAACCTGCTTGTTCAAATAATACCTGCCCCGCTCATACAGCGACTTCACTAGATCGTCCCATCTAGCAACACGTCGTCTTCCTGACATTGGAAACACGCTTCCTATGCTGGGATCAGGCTTTCCTTCTCCGTGGTCGCACTGATGCAGTACTTGGTGCGCTGTCTGCGGCGTGCAGTACAGCTTGAGCTTGCTTCTCCTGACCACCCACTGGCCTACTTGGCTGGAACCGCTTGCGAACCGCGCGGATCATCATGACAAACCAGTAAAAGTTGAGTCCATTCAACGTTAGGTTACTGATAAGGTACGCTGCTGCCAGCCACGTCGGAACTGTTGATGAGGTCGTCAAAAATCTCATGGCGTCGGACAACGGGATATTGCTGCCCGGCAAGTTACTTGCCCCCTTCAGCAGCTCAAGTCCAGGAAATGTGTTCATTGCTGCCCAGATATCTTTAAAGACCATGACAGACTGGTAAGTTCCGTAGACGAGACGGCAGCTGAAGAAGGTGAACAAAAGTGCAAGACCATTGTAGAGTTGAGGCTTTGTGCCCGTCATGCCAAGTTTGTCGAAGAACCAGTGTATGTTGAGGAAGGGCGTCGACAACTCCCACAGGATGAAGACGGGGGCGTAGTAGTTGACGAAGGGACGCTATAGACAAGACTCGGTCAGCTTGCCGCTCGAGAGCGAGCTTTCCTGAAGAGAAAGAGGTGGGTGGCGCGACTCACGAAGCCAAAAGAGTAGACGAGCAGGGCACTGACGGCATGGGCAAGAGTGCCAGGACCGAAAACGTCCATGTTCAAACTGGTGACAACCAAATCCCATAGAAAGTAGCCGGCAGCCAAAGCCTGGATCATGCCAACGGCACCAGTGTAGCCCCAAATACGTGCCTGCCAATCCATTTCACGACGTTCCTCGTCGACGAACATGATCCAAAGCGCAAGCCCGTTGATCAACGTACTCTGGAAAAAGGACACAACATGTGCATCCCAATTCACGCGGCGCTTCCTAGGCAAGCTTCTGTAGCGCTCCCCAACTAGTAGATTGGAGAGCAAAGGCGAAATCGGCCAGTAAATGACAGAGTATAGAAGACATGCAATAAGGACTTCGTGGATATGGAGAGGCAGTGAGGGCAGCGACAAGTAATCAGCCCAGGGCTGTACTGCTTTCGAAAGCCATGGCAACGGTTCCAGAGGGAATGGATCCTTCATCTTGGCAAGTCGCAGTATGGTCGGGCCGTTATGCTTCCTTGCGAGCTGTGGTGGGCGTTGCCTGTAGATGCTGTTCAAGTGTCGTGCCAGAAAGACTGGGAGATGGCCAGCGAGCGGTGGATATTTCTGGTTTCGCGATCAAGAGCCCATGATCGTGGGTGGCTATCGGTTTATAAATGGATGCTGCGATTGAAGGCTTTTGCAGCATTGGCGATGTCGAAGTCAGCTGAGGTCCAACGCCTCCTGCCAGGTTTGTCGCAAACACAGCGTGATCAAGAAGCACCTTGCCTACCCCCTCACAATCAAGTATTGTTGAGCTTCCTGGTGCCTGGACCCTCGTCGCCCCACCTCGGACCACAGCGCCTCACACCGCATCATGCTTGTCCAGATGATCCACCCATGTGGAGTCTGTGGCGTGTCCAGGAACACGAGGTCGCTCCGCCTGATTGGCTGATCAGAGGGGTCTATCAAGAGACCCTCGCTCGACCTGGCCTCTACTGATCCTCATGCAACTCCCTCAACAACCCGTCTGAACAGATTGGTCGAGTTTGGGTTTGGTGATCGCGTTCACTTAGCATGGCTGATCTTCTTCTGGACCTCTTGGACGCTGAGCGTACTGATCCTCAGGCTCACTCCAGTCGCGCCAACGATCTCACAGCCCTGGCAACCAAACTCCAATACCTTGATCACTTGGCCGAACAGTCCCAAGCATCACTGTTGTCTGCAGAGCCGCAGAGTTTAGCCCACTCATCCCACTCGCTGCTACTCTCCCTTCAAGACATATCGAAAAGATCCCACAAGACAGTGGTTGACTCGGCGAGCTGCCATGCCACTCTGGAAAGAGCGCTCCCAAGGCTTATGAAGGGCACAACACAGCTGCAAAACGCCATCCCGAAAGTCGACTTTGAAGCCCTTCATTTCTCCTCAACGTATAGCAAAGCCAGCGATAACAACAATTTGCTTCGAAGACGCCGCGCCCTTTTACTGCTCGATAATGTTGAACGACTTGTTGACGTCCTAGAGCTCCCCGCATTGCTTTCCTCGGCCATCACAGCGGTACCGCCGAACTATGCCACTGCTCTTGACTTGAACGGCCATATCAGACGACTGAATCTGCTGCATCCTGAGTCTCCTTTGATTGCATCCGTCTACTGCCAGGCGAGCGAAGCGATAGACCGCCTCACAGCGGATCTCATTGCTACACTAAAGGCCCCCGGCCTTAAACTAGCCACGGCTTTGCGGACTGTGAGCTGGCTTAGGAGAGTCCTTCCTGATTTTGATGGCGATTCAAGCACCGGACGCGACATCCAGGAGCGAACCTTGTCATTTCTGTTTCTTCGTTGCCGCCTCGCAACCCTAGCAACCACTCTCGACGCGCTGCTTCCACTTCAGGAGTTGGCTAACGAGGAAAAGGCTAGGCAGTCTAGCTCGCATAACGTACAGAGCTGGTCTGGCGGTCAGCAAACAGAACGATTCCTAAAGCGCTATGTCGAGATATTCCGCGAGCAAAGCTTCAGCATTGTATCGATGTTCAAAAGCATATTCGGTTCACCAGCAATCTTGCCAGACCAGCCTGCGAGTGATCCTCTGCAACCCCTGCCTTCGGTCCTCTCTGCTTTCCCCCTTCAGTTAATCGAAAAGCTGCTTGAGACACTGCACGAATATCTTCCCGCTGTCAAAGACCAAGCTGCCAGAGACAGCATCCTTACACAAGTACTATACTGTTCTGGTAGCATGGGCCGACTCGGGGGCGATTTCAGCATGCTTCTGCCCGGAATAAGGACCGGAGAATACCAGGTTGCACTAGAAGATGCCGGAAGTACCGAGTGGGTTGATGTCGTAAAGAGACATCGATTGCTAGCGGGACGGCTGGACTCAATTATCGGGGACTATAAGGGTACTGCGATTAGAGGCACATGAATGTCGCGTACGACAGATACGGAAACCACATTTAGGGTCCTTTGACCCCCCATGCTGTTCACCCAGCGCGCGTGCGTCTCGGCTGCGCCCTACAAATATTGCAGTGTTCGACTTGTCTCCTTTCCGCCATGCATCCCCATGAGGGTATCGCACTGCTCGAGCGTAGTTCCACCCATACTTCAGCTGAGTAAGGTTCAGATATCTACGATACCTACCTAAGGTACCGTAGATATGCTGACATACCTGACCTAGGTACCTAGATACCTGGTATGGTACAGTCAGACAATAAAGTCAATCGGATCATGGTAGTAGTAGACCCTGGGTAAGGCTCATCAGGCAGTAATGCTTGCTTACCTAATAGTAGATGAACGAGATAGAACGGGGAGCGCCGTGCGTGCCTGGTTCCATTTGACTGGTCCATACGGTACGTACCTACATCTTGCTAACCCGGCCCCGTGGTCCGGAACAACTCCGGCGGCTCCGCCCAAACCATCGGGATTGTGTAATCTCTACCGTCATGGATCAGCACGCCTACCGTGCGTTCCTACTCACATTTCCAACAACAATAGTATCTCCCATGCTCAACCGTTATCGTGTCAACCACACCGCATGATGGCCCAACATCTCGTCTACGCTCTAACCCCTCTTGCCTAGCCCACGACCATTGCTGTCAGATCACGCGGGACAGCCTGGCTTCTTGGTTCCCAACACCGGCCCCAGTCTCAAAGCAAACCTCTATTCACACGCTCGTATTTCCCCGTGGAGTTCCAATGGCCCACAATGGGAGCGCCAGATCAAAATCCTGTGAGCTACAGTTCCCGATGGTCCTCGCGCCCGGCTGATGCAGATTCGTCAGCCTTTCACTTTGCAGCGGGCCTGGGGTCCGGCGTTTGCTCGGCGGTGCTCCTCCAACCCTTGGACCTGCTGAAGACCCGAGTTCAACAGTCGGGTCATCGGTCACTGTCCTCCTCCTTGAGTGAGGTAGCAGCATCTCCAGACAAGCTACGAACACTTTGGCGAGGCACAGTCCCTTCTGCTTTGCGGACAGGCTTCGGCTCTGCTCTCTACTTCACCTCTCTCAATGCTATCCGCGAACATGTTTCCAAGTCAAATCTTCTGGGACATGCTGCCCCATGCACATCCCATTCATCATCCCTCCCTCGACTTTCAAATTCCGCCAACCTTGTTGCCGGGGCCGTCGCTAGGACCTTTGCCGGCTTCGCACTCATGCCGTTGACTGTCATTAAGGTTCGATACGAGTCGAGCATGTATTCTTACCAATCCATCTTAGGCGCCTCGAAAGACATATACATCGCGAACGGTCTTCGTGGCTTCTTCTCGGGCTTCGGCGCTACGGCTGTCCGCGATGCGCCCTACGCAGGGATGTACGTTCTCTTCTACGAACTGCTTAAAAAGCGCATGAGCAGTCTAGTCGTCCCACAGCAAGCGGTTGTCGGTCACGATGGAAATGCATCGCTTAAGATGTCGCAAGCAGGCACCATTAATTTTACTTCTGCCATCCTCGCCGGAGCGGCGTGCTCGGCCGTCTCGAATCCTTTCGACGCAATCAAAACGCGAATCCAGTTGCAGCCACAGGCGTATCCTAACATGTACCGAGCATGTCGCAAGATGCTCGCGGAGGAAGGCGTAAGATCTCTATTCGATGGCCTCGCCCTGCGAATGAGCAGGAAGGCGCTGAGTTCTGCTCTAGCCTGGACAGTGTATGAAGAACTGATGCGGAGGGCAGAGCGCGTGTGGAACCCAAGTATGGAGCGGGTCGAGGTATAGATTGTACTTGTATCGTTGCTCTCCTCTCAGGTCTTCTCCCAGGTTTGTTCCTCAATATGGGAGGCAGCATGGTCTTGAAATAACACGAGTTTGTCTGGTTGCACTCTTCCATTGACGTACAGCGCAAGCAGCATCATCTTGGCTGCTTCATTTCAGGCCGGTCGAGCACCGGCCAGGTACATCAGGAGCGCAGGCGACTTGCTACGCTTACGGTCTCCCCCCTTCTTCCTCACCCACTCAAACTTTGGGTCATCGCGATCTCGCCTCTTGTCCCCATCTCCGACATCCAACAAGAGCCGACCTGACCTCTTCTCGCGGACATCTCTGGTATGCTTCCAAAGGGTGTCCTGTTCCCATTCTGGTACCCAACGTCTGATGAGGACGTAATCGGGATCCTAGAACACACGATCAGTATGAACAACATTGCTAGAAACCGTTGCTTCCGTAGGTCACTACATACCTGATCCACTTCATACTCGATACGGTAAGTCCGTAATGTTTCGATGGACAGGTGCCTACGGGCCATGCGTGTGTAGGTTGGGCGCGCTACCGCATTGCCGACTGGCACAAAGGGTACCTGAGGGAGTGCTGCTGGCGCCTTGACCTTCTCTGGAACCTTCTCCTTCTTTAGGATGGCAGCAATATGCTTCTCGTCGACACCTGAATTGATGAGGTCCTCTTGGAGACGTCGCTTGTATTCCTTTTCGCGCGCGTCCTTCTCCTTCTGCTCTTGCGCGATTCGTTCCAGCTCCTTCTGCTTGTACTTTGCAACAGCCTCCTTGGCCTGTTTTTCGAGCTTCTCCTTTTCCTCGGCTTCCCGCTCTTCCTCACGCAAACGTTGCAGCTCGAATTCTTTTTTAATGCGTGCTTCTTCCTTGGCCTGCTGTTCCCGCGCACGAATGGTGTCAAGTTCGCGCTTGGCACGCTGCAGCTCAGCCTCCTCGCGGAATTCTTTCTGAGCTCGTCGCTCCTCCTTATCACGAGCTTGGTGAAGCCGCATCTCTTCCAGCTCTCGTCGTGTCTGCTCCATTTCAAACTCCTCTCGGGTCATGTAACCGGACCCGGATCGCGAACGGGAGCGGGAGTGGTCCCGATGGCGGGCTGGCATGACTTGGAGTCCGCGCCGATCATCCTCGGAATCCGAGTGCTCATTGTAAATGCGGTTGTTAATAATAACGGGAGCTGGCGCGGGGGCTGGCGCCGGCGGGGAGTTCGGCGGGCTGGGACGTCGGAAGCGCTCGCGCGAGCGAGAGCGGGTCCTAATGACAGTGCGCTCCGGTACAAGATAGGATTGAGGCCGCTGCTCTGTGGGAAAGTAGCTCACTGGGCGGTGCCGAGGCGGTTCGACATAATTGTAAGGCGGGGAAGCGCGCCTTCTTGATACATGTATGTTCAGATCCTCGTCGTCGGAGTAGTAGCTACTCATTTTGGTAACGAACAGTCGCTATCCTTGGGAAAAGAGTCGTGTTCCAGGGGGTCAGGCGAGGTTTCTCTTAATGCTGACACAGAGGGGAGGGGAAGGGGCCGACGATGTTGAAGCACCTGCAACGCCTACTTGGATGATGTGTAGAGCGGGGTGAAGGAACAGGCTGGAGAGGATGGCTTGTGTGTCCAGAGTAGCCGCGAGTATTCGAACTATCCCCGTATGGAGGGCGGCGATACAGTTGAGCGTGGGTGGGCAGGGAAATAGTGCGCGGGAGGGGGAGGGGAATAAGGGTCGGCAGGGCAGTAGGGTGCGTGTCGGCGTTTTATCTTCGAGCGCCCATCTCGCTCTTCGCCAGTCCTCCGCCACTCATTCTGCTGGTCGCATGCATAACCCCCTCATCCTTCACGCAAGACAGGCTGACAATCGACATCGGCGCCCATGTCGGGCTTTGGCGCCCTTGTAGGGCTGCACCGTGGCCATGTCGTGGCTCGGAAGGATTTGGGGGCCAGAAGGCATCCATGGATGTTGGTGAGAGGAGCTGATCGTATTTTATTGGATTGGCGCGACCACCAACGGGACGGCTGACCCCAAGACCCCGTTCGCTGTCCAATAAGATGAGAATTTGGTATGAGGAGCGGGGTGGCCTACTGACGAAGGGGAAATGGTGGGAACGACAGCAGGCTGCTGGGATCAGCGACGCCGGCGAGGACCAATCCAGGTCACCCCGACTTCACAACTCGGGAGCCTTCTGATGTGGTTGCCTGCCTCAGCTTTGGTCTCACAATGTGTTCTGCGCTGCTGAGCAAGCCAGAGACAGAAAAGTACACGGCCTGTACCGGACTGGCATTCTGTCTATCGCACGGTGCCTGGAGAGAAACAGCTGTGTATTGGAGCCAGCTCGAAGGCTACATCTACCTGTCTAGCTGAACCCTGGCAAACACATAACACCGCAACAGAGACGTCGTGGACGCAGAACAAGGCCAATAAACGGCAGCAGAATCCACTCTGAGCGAAGAACGTGGGCAAGACGCCGATCATAGGAATGGCTAGCGAGGCGTCTCAAGCCGGTGCACTTGTGTCCTCGTCCGGGCTTTCTTTTGAAATGGGTTGGGTTGTGGGTGGATAAGGTAAGCTGTGCACCATGTTGCTCCAGTGCCCCCAAACCCCATCCGTCTCCGCCTTCAGGCACCCTGGGACTTGAGCATCTGATCAATCGCTTGTCGGCTGTTTTTAAAGGTCGTCTCAAGATAATGCAGTTTCTGTCCAAGCTTCTCCACCTCGTTTTCCTTATCTTTGATCTGAGTGTCCAGTTTCTCTGTGAGCTTTGGCGTAGGTAGCGCAACGAACCTGGCGGTTGGTGAGTGCTGAGACACGAGAGCTGACCCGAATGGACTCACATTTTGCCGACTCCCTCGAACACATTGGACCCTCTCGGGAGCCCGGAAACCTCGTCCAAAGTCAAACGCAGCATGCGCATTTCACGCTGCTTGGACGCCGTCTGCGACCGCGCCTGTCCAATCTGTTGTTGGGCTGCAATCGCCTGGCCCTCAATCTCCCTCATCAACTGTTCAGTCACGCAATCCGTATTAGCCTATTGCCCCGCTGCTGCTATTCCAAGGCTGTGCCGTGTGTCAAAATGGGCCCTTACAGACCTTCTCCAGAGCCTGGTTAGGAATCGACATGATGAGAAGCCCTGTAAACAGGTTGCGCGGCCCAAGTCGGTTGCTAGGCGAGTCAGTTGACTATGCAGCTAAGTCTGCTCAGTCGTAGATTCGAACGTCGACGGTGCGAGCCGTGCCTTCAGTGGCATGCGCTGTCCAGCGGTTGCCGAAGTGTTGGTGCGAGTTCGTTTGTCGCAGGCGATGTAGGCAACATGGGCACGGAGAGAGGCGAGCGGCAGAGTCGAGCTCTTCAGGCGGATCCCCACCTCTTTCGAACACTATCGATATGCCTATCGGTTGGCGCTAAGACCACGGCATCATGGCCCCCTTGCATGTATTGTGTATATGGGGCAAACACTGTTGCCGAACTGACTTGATGTTGATGTACAGTACACTTGGAAGTTTTTCTTGAGGCACCTTCTTCTAGCAACAGGCTTTTCTTCCCACAGCGTCGCAGTACCTCGCGCCTCGTTGTCATTTGTTACGCGCCACTGATCACGCTCGCTACACCTTCTCCTTGACCCTCACCACCTGTGGGACAGACAACAGGTGGCCCTGCCACAGCAGCTTGTACTCGTTCTCGCGGCCTCCAAGACACCGCCGAAGCCAGATGCCCCATACAATGTAGTAGTATCCTGTTCAGTCGCATTAGCTTCTCCAGCCAGGAGCAAGTGAGCTGACCGAGCGTGAGACGGGACCAGCAAATTGTGGGCATGTCAAACTGTACCTCCAAGACCCGTCATCAAATGCCACCAACCATGTCCCTCCAGTAAGATCCCCCATGGAAGACCTACACGCCTCCTCCAACGGGTAATTGTATTGCAGTAGTGATTATCCAGATTCCAGATGAAGAATCCGCCAAGAAACACCGCGATCCCTGTACCTACCATCAACCACATGGTTGCCAGGATACGCTTGGCTTTGGCAGGATCTTGAGCATGGAGTTTCGGTCGGAGCTCTGTCTCCATGACATAGACACTGCGGAGTAGAACAATTGCCGTTAAGATACCATAGGAGTTTTGATGGAACAGGGGGTCTTTTGAGATATGATAGTACGCCTACATGGCGGATTTGAAAGTCAGCTGCATGGTCGAGGTGTCGGATACCAGATTCTGACTGTACCGTTATGAATGCTGCCAAGGCAATGAGCGCAAAGCCCAGGCACGCCGAGAACCGATTTGACCTGCGATATGTAAAGGTTGCAAAGCACATAACGCATGTTGTATAAATCATGGACAGTTCGTCAACGAGTTGCATAGGATCTGCACAAGGTCAGAACGAATCGCCGCAGTTCAGGATATCTGCGGCTTTCAACCGCGTTCAAGCTTACACTTCAGAGTGGAATGGAAAGCTGTTGAGCCTGCGCCGACAATGATGTATCCTAGAAAAGATATCACAAAGATGCGGTCGTGTTTATGCTTCAGACAATTCTGAATGCCTCGGGCCCCTAGCCACAGGAACAGCAAATTGGTCAATGTCTGTTTGTCGCCAAGAAGGCGGCATTAGAGATGGCACGACAAGGGGTTCAGTGAAACCAACATTGCAAATTTCTGCGCAGTAGTACGAGACAACGTAATCCTTCAGGTCCATATCAGCACGGCGGTCTTCTGTTGCTGCATGTTTGAATTTGAACTCAGGGAGACGCTACCTCTTCACAAAAATTCAGGGTCACAGTTTTCGGACCCCAGAAACCTTCGTGGCCGTTGCTGTCATCGTAGGGAAAACCAAATGATGGGCCCCTAGAAGGAGTCGTTGAGCTCATCTTGTCGAGCGCGTCTCGTGACAAGCAATCGCAGGTTGGACTTGACGTGAGTAATGCGGCGTGCTCAGTGGTTGAACCAACGACACCTCACTGTAGGCACAGATTACAGACTGGTGATTTAGTTGGGCAACAGCGGTATCAGACAAGTGATGGAGAAAATTGGGGTGGTTGTGACAAAACAGGTTGAGCTTGTCGCTGGTGGGGGGGGGGGGGGGTGGCCAATGGTTCAGTGCTCGGAATGGCCACCAGAGAATCCAAAGCAGTAGGCCGAGGCTGCCGAAGCGCGTGGAGTACGCGTCCTCTCCATGACTGGCATGCTCTGGGAAGGCCATGTGTCCATTCCCCCTTGCATTTCAACTCGAAGCAACTCATACCAAGAGAAGAGCTACGTACGTGCACCGACTATTCAAACAAGCTTTTCCTTCAAGCAGCAGCATGACTGGCAAGCTAATGAAAAAAATAAGAACAAAAAAATTGCCTGAAGTGTCAACCGCAAAAACTTGACACAGCTCGCCTGTCCCCTCCAAGGTTGGGCTGATAAGGTGAGAGGCTTGCGGGTCGGATACCAAGATGAGCCGATAGTATGACAAGTATGCATGGTAGATAGACATTTCGGGGGGATTGCTAGAGGGAGCTGGCCATGGTTTCTGTCGAGAATGACGTAAATATGTATTGAACACCAGGGCCCATCTACCTACCACCTAGTCTAATGGACTTGGGAAGGAGGAGTGTGCTTAGTCATCGCCAATAATCTACCTGTTAGATGGAGCCAAGCGGTAAGGTGATCTATTTTTACCATTCCGTCTTCTACCACGTACTCCTTGAGCTTCGTGTACCTACCTACCGCACTTCAAGTAGGAAGGTGTCACGCCAGAATAGCGAAGGCTACCCGTGACCTTGTGGCATTTCTTATGAAGGTTGGTACACAGACACGTCCATTGATTTTGTCAGCAACGCTTCCTGGACCGCCATAATTGATCGACTTTACGGATCAGCGAAACGACTGCGACCCTTAAGCCTCGAAGCCCGAGCTGCCCGTCTGCGTGTTGACGCCTATTCACTCAATGCTCTAGATTCGATCACCGACACCGCTCCCAGCCTGGTCACGACCATCTGGGCACGAGATGAACGCATTGCACAGATTCCTACGTTCATCGCTATCCTCATAGGAGCTCTGAGATATGGCGAATCAGGGGAAAGGCTCGAGATGGGGCTCGTTGTTGTCACAAGCTGTGGCGGGCATGGAGGCGCATCTTGACAATATGCTCGCTGAAGGTGAAGGTGGACCGAATGCCACGAAACAAGCACAGAGCACGAGCGGCAACCCTCAGCGTCAATCTGCAACTGTCCAGGCCAAAAATGTGCCGGGTAAGTCAAATTGCTGTCACGACGGCCTGTATTAGGCCATAGGCTTACTAGTCAATAGCGTCGCCCCGAACGTCCTCCAGTAGTAACCGAGTGAACGATCGCTTGCAAGAGCGCTTGGCTAAAGCTATCGCAACCAAAGGCGGCAGCAACGCAACCGAGGTCTCTAGTATCACAGTCAATTCCAATGATTTTCCGAACAACAAAGCTTCCACCACATCGGAAAATAGCGCTGAGAATCAGGTCCAACAACTGCGTGGTCCAGAAAGCCCGCAGACGGCTGCGGTCGGGGCAGCTGTCATTGAACCTCTGTCCACGAACGAAACACACGGCACTGGGTTAGATGACGTGCGAGAAGATGCGAAGCGCGATGGCGCTGAGCCTATCGAGCTCGAGGAGGAACACCTCGCAATCAAGTTGCCTCCATCTTCTGAAGTGACGACAACACCTTCCGATTCACTCTGTAGTCGCTGTCAATCCTTGGACGTCAAGATTTCGACCTTGGAGGCTGAGCATCGTGGTGAGGTTCATCGATATATCGAGCAGGTTGATGCCTTGCAGGCCAAATTGCAGTATTTGTCCCGTGAAGCCAGTCAAGTTGCGAGGAATGCTATTAACGATACTCAATCGGGCACCCCGGAGCGAAAATTGGCTGAAAAAGATGAAAGGATCGCAGTGCTCATGGAGGAAGGGAGAGGCATGGCTGCTACTGAACAGAAGCACCGAAATGCGATAAAGAAGCTCAGGATTCAGGTGGCCGATAATGAGAAGGCCAACGCCGAGCTGAAAGCCGCGCTTCAGCAGGCGCGGGCGGGTCTAGCTGACTTTCGTGCAAGCGAAACAAAGCTCGAACAGCTTGAGAGAGCTAGATTCGAGTGGCAAGTTGGGTCGGCAAAGATGCGTGAGGAGCTGAGCATGCTGCGATCAGACCTCAGCGCAAAGCAGATCACTATTGAGTCTCTTCGACAAGATCTACAAAAAGCAATAGACGAAGCGGATACATCCGCGTCGCGGTCTCTCGCTGAAGCTTTAGAAGCTGAAAAACGACGAGCCAGGGAGTTCGAGGACAACATCGCGTCACTGCAGGTCGAGAAGAATCTGGTCGCCGAACGAGCCAAGAAGAGGGAAGCAGAGCTCAGAGAAAAAGCTGATGAGGCTGCGGAACGCTCACGTATTGCTCAATTGGAGTTGCAAGGTGAAATGCAGGCAATCGAGGGCAGACTCGAGGCCATGCGGGCTCTAGCAGAAGAGGCTTCATCAGGGGCTGTCGGCGACTCTCAGGCCAAACTTTTGCGACAAATGGAAACACTCCAGACTCAGCACGCTATTGCTAGCGAAAACTGGCAGGGAATAGAAGCTAGTCTCGCCACACGCCTAAGCAATCTGGAGAAGGAGAGAAACGATGCATTGCGGAGAGAGTCAGATATGAGAAAGAAGGCTAGGGAAACGGTCAGTCAAAGGCTGTGTCAACAGCCCCTCCAAGCATATTTAATTTGGGCTGACAAGAGATCAGACACTTCGCTGCAAACGACAAGAAGAAGAAATCCACGATCTGAGCAACAGAATCTCGAATAGTCAGCCTGAATCTGACCAATTCAAGGACCAGCTCGTCACACTCCAGAAGCGTGCAGAGGCAGCGGATGCTGCGCTTGCACAAGCCAAGGCAGATTTCGAAAAACAACTAGCCAACTGGAAAGCGGAACGCTGGGATAATCCTGACCGACGCCTTTGGCTGGAGGACGTCCCAGTCGCATCGCCAAGGATACAGAGTCGGCCAGATTCACCTTTACTGTCTGTGCCCGTAAGGACTTTCAGCTCAGACCTCGTTTCACAGGGGCCATCCAGCAAGGGTCGCAAAATCTCAACTCCTGGCAGCGTCGCTGACGGCTTTCACGAATCATATTCGCCAGGTAGGCGATTGTCAAGCCAGCCCCCTTTAAGGCATTTCGTCCTCCCGAACAGCGCCGGCCTTTCGTCTTCAGTGTCCATGGCTTCGTTCGATCCACCTCGGGAAGGCGTGCATACGGCAACGTCACATCTGGGTGAACGAGATGACATATCAGACGTGTTAGATACGTCTTCTTCTCCACGCCAAATGATGCAAGACATGGTATCAGTATCAACTGTTGGAGCGGGACCATCAGTCCAGCTTGTTGAGCGCATGAGTGCGGCGATTCGGCGACTTGAGGGAGAGAAGATGGCATCAAGAGAGGAGCTGTCTAGAATATCAGGTCAAAGAGATGAGGCCCGGGCGGAGTTGGTTGCTCTCATGAAGGAAACGCAATCTGCAGAAGCGACATCCAGGAAGGTGTTGGACTTGGAGGACGAGGTGGCGAATATCAACGAGAGATACCAGACCACGCTTGAATTGCTTGGCGAGAAGAGCGAACTTGTGGAAGAGCTGCGAGCTGATGTGGAGGATGTTAAGGCCATGTACCGAGACCTGGTAGAACGAACAGTAAAAGGGTGATGGTTCTTCGGGAAATCATTGTAGGCCTAGCCATTGCTGTGGAATTTTACTACGCAGTTGAGTTGATCATGGCAGTCACCTCCGTCTTCCTTCTCTGCACTCATGACGTGTTTACTTCAGAAGCTCGATCCCTTCAGCTTCAGCAAAACGCTCAATGTAGTAACGAACCTGTGAGTAGGTTAGATGAAGGAGGCGGCATAGATTGGGTCTTGATATGAGGGTGCAGACCTCGTTGTCCGGCGCTAGATCGAGTGCGAGGTTTCCTTCCATGTCGCGTTTGCTAACGTCTGCCCCAGCTTTCAGCAGGGCGACAGCTGTATCGCCTGCACCATCTCGAGTCAACAAGGGAGAGTGAGGTTTCAGGCATAAAACTGGAGTACATACCATGCCCCTCGGCTATAGCATGGTGAAGGGCAGTGTAGCCAAAGTTATCTGTGGCATCCAATGGGCTTTTATGCTTAAGCAACAAGTTAACCATCGGCACCGAACCGACAGCTGACGCTCTGTGGATTGCATATTGGCCTCTCTTGTCGCGCACTCGTGCAGAAACTGGAGTTTTCAAGGCTAGCAGACGCTTGGCTAAGTCGAGGTTGTTCTTCGAGGCGATGAAATGAAGAACATTCTATCGTGGTTGAGTTTAGACCGTTATCAGCCTCAAGGGAATGGGCTCACCTGTCCATTGAGGTCTGTCATCAGCAGGTCAGTGACTGCAGACAATGGGCAGGACCGGTCACTGACTCTTAAGGTTGATATCGGCGCCCCGAGAGAGAAAGACATCCATGACTGCGTCGCCGTCCGGTAGACTGCCTGCGATCATCACGGGTGACCAGCCGCTACCGTCCTTCGTACAAGAGGAGCTGTCAGCGTTGAACCGTAACCAGCCAGGCTGGCCTCTGAAGACCTGGGACCAGCAAAGCCTCTTACCTGCACATCGGGGTCAAACCCACGGAGTTGAGTAAGCAGCACAACGATGTCAATTTGATTCGCAGATACCGCCCAATGAATAGGCATTCGGCCATCGTCGTCTACGCGTGCTGCAAGCTTCGGGTCCGTCTGGTGTACCAAGGCGTCAATCTGTACCCATAGTCTCGCCCAGAAGGGGTTGTATTCGCACCTTTAAAATAGCCTCCGCCAGAGACACTATGGCAAACGTCAGTACGGCAGAGCACAAACATTTCGCCAAAGCCAAAGGGGCCGTTTATTACTGGAGGGCAGTTGCGTTACCTTTGCCCTCCCTTGCAGCAGCATGAAGTGCAAATTTGGCTTGCCGCTCGTCCATCGTGCACGCGCTCACAACTGATTGATCTCACGACAGAGATACACCCTCCAAGTCACTATCTCAACAGACGTTATAAGACTTAAGTCGAGCTTGAGGGACGAGACCTTGCAGCTCTGATACGGGGGAGGTGCAAGACGGTCAAAGCGACAGCTGGTTGCAAGAACCTGAGTAGAAGCTGCTAATTGTCAATCTGAAGTTGCTGGTGTTCCCCTACAGGACTGACGTGAGGAGGATTACAACATTGGCATGGGTATATCTGGCTGTGTAGGTAATGGAGTAGCTAGTAGGTACCTCACCTTAGGTACCGTGCCCACCTAGGTAGGTACGTAAACATGGGATTCGGCGGCTAGCTACAAAGAAGGTGGCTCAAGCAATGCATGGGCCCACACATGCCGACCCCACCGACCAAAGGGCGTGTGCTGCTTAGCTACCTTCTCAACCAGAGCTCTAGTGCCTGAATTGGCAGCTTTCTCGCCTACAGTCTTGTCAATCCTCAATAGGTACTTTTGCGACGTGCCTCACGAACGGCCGACAGCCTTACTGACGGCCAATGATAGCCAGCCGCAAATATCTACCTGTTTAACCTCCTTCCTCCTTCGGATATTGAGTAGCCATGAGCGACATGTCATCTACAGTTGTTCCAGACCGACTTGCGACGCTTGGCCGACTGGTGGATGGGAATGCAAGAACGACACGATCCATTTTCACCACTTCGACAACTTTACCCTCCAGCAAGCGACAGAGGACGGGTGAAGCGGATACGAAAATAGACGGCACCACCAGCACAGGCAGGCGCTTCGATCTCGAGTATGCTAGCGTCCAGGATCTACCCGATGCAATTGCTGCAAAGCTGCCTCCATCAGGCAAGTCTAGGAAACATGTTGTGCGCCAGGTTGCAAAAGTTACCCATGGCGTGCCGACAAGCACGAAGTTGTTGGAAGGGCCACAATCCACAACGGTAGAGCACGAGGTGAACATGCCTACAGGGACGAGCATCAACACTGTTGGTTCAGGTTCGCAGCCACCTACTGGACACAATGAGACGAGCCTCTCGCGGATCACATCTACACAACCTCTCAAACCACAATGGCACCCTCCTTGGAAACTGATGCGAGTCATATCGGGACATCTCGGCTGGGTCAGGAGTCTCACAGTAGAGCCAGGCAACAAGTGGTTCGCCAGTGGCGCAGGCGACCGTACCATCAAAATCTGGGACCTCGCGACAGGCTCTCTACGCCTTACATTGACTGGTCACATTTCGACTGTTCGAGGTCTTGCTGTTAGCCCCAGACACCCCTATCTCTTCTCCTGCGGCGAAGACAAGATGGTCAAATGCTGGGATCTGGAGACGAACAAGGTTATCAGGCACTACCATGGTCATCTTAGCGGCGTCTACACCCTAGCATTGCACCCAACCTTGGACGTGCTCGTAACTGGAGGGCGGGATGGTGTAGCCAGAGTCTGGGACATGCGCACCAGGAGTAACATTCATGTTCTCTCGGGACACACAGCAACCGTTTCCGACGTCAAGTGTCAGGAAGCAGACCCTCAGGTCATTAGTTCGTCTCTCGACTCCACAGTCAGGCTTTGGGACCTGGCAGCGGGCAAAACCATGGGCGTCTTGACGCATCATAAAAAAGGTGTTCGTGCTCTGGCCACGCACCCAAGCGAGTTCACCTTCGCAACGGGAAGCACGGGCAGCATCAAGCAGTGGAAATGTCCGGAGGGGGCCTTCATGCAAAATTTTGATGGGCACAACGCTATCATCAACACATTGAGCGTGAATCAAGAAAACGTTTTATTTTCTGGAGGCAAGTCACTTTTGTCAGTCGGGGTCGCCCAGCTGTCAGCTAACCCTGGACTCAGGTGACAATGGCTCTATGAGTTTTTGGGATTGGAAGAGCGGACACCGCTTTCAGTCTTTGGACACAACGGCACAGCCCGGTTCACTTGATGCCGAAGCTGGAATTATGAGCTCGACGTTCGACAGATCAGGCTTGCGCCTTATCTGCGGCGAGGCAGATAAAACCAGTGAGTCCTCGCCAACACACTTCGGACTTTTTGCCTGATAATGTTCCGTATACTAATACGTCGTGTGCAGTCAAAATTTGGAAACAAGATGAAAGTGCCACGCCGGAAACGCACCCCCTTGTCTGGCAACCTTCACTGGCTCGCCGGAAGTTTTGATATTATGGCGCCGGCCTTCTGTCATATCGCCAGGAATTCTACAGCGTTCCATATTATAGTGTCTTGAGTACGACTCATAAGCCAACGCCCATGGCCCTCAGTTCTGCATCGTCTCTAAAAGCCATCTTGATCTCCTCGTCTCCCACTGCAAGTCGCAACTTGCACGGACGTTCTGCCCTTTGCGATTCTAAAATGATAATTCCAGCACCTGCGAGGTCTATTGCGCCAGTTTGCAAGCACATTTGTTCAGTCACTACCGTATAGCGGCTGGGACGGACGCCGCCAGATCCCATAGGCATCGACCCTTGCAATGCTTGGAGCGTCGCTGGCAGTAAGCTTCCAGACGCCAGACTCAATACACGTTGTACCTCGTCCATAATATCGCCAAATGTGGCATCGCTTGTTCCGCTTTTCTGCGTTCGTGCCACCAAAGCAAAGAGCAACAATCGTGGTCCGAGAGCGAGAGAACGGAGATACTGCTGGATGGGGTTAGTCGTGGCTTCATTGATAGCTCTTCTGATAGTGGCGATGGTAACTCTGCCCCCGCGCTGTGTCGTCTTGATGTCTTCGTTTCCGTGTCTGTGTGATCCGTGGCTTGGAGTTGTGGGCACAGGTTGGGCCTCGGCTTCGGCAAGTTCTACTGCTCGTCTGCATATATCGAGAGCTCTCCGAGCGTCGCCGCTGACGGCGGCGACTTTGCGGCTCGCGAACTGGATTGCATCCGGCTCTACGAGGTCGCCTGGGATACCTTGTAGTCTTGACTGAATGATTTTCATCAGTTGTTCATGATTGTAACCCGGAAATGTGATCCTTGTGAGGCCTGTTGGGAGTCAGATGCAAATCTTGAGTGGGGTAAAATCTTGATGCACAAACCCAGCCGACTACTTATTTTATTGCTCAGCGTTCGTTCTGGAAGATCCATGGTGTTGGCGACGGCAAGCACAATAAGTCTGCTATGTCGTAGTGCCGGCCAGTTGAAAAAGTTATACATAACGCTTTGGTTTTTCGTGACAAGCTGATCCAGTTCGTCCATCAAGACGACACATGGTATCCGTCGGGGACTTGGGTTATTGAACTCACGTTCAAGCAAATCTAGTGCTTGAACTGGACTGACACGCTCGCTTTTGAGAGCTTCCCACAGTAGACTATAAGACTGGTGAGGGTCGGTAATCTTCATGCCGTTGATCTCGACAAAGATGAAGTCATCGAGCTCATCGGACCTGACACAGCTCTCCAAGCGTCCTATAACCTCACGGACGGTAGCAGTTTTCCCAGTGCCCGGGGTTCCTGCTATATAGATACAACTGCCAGAGCCATCAATAATCGCAGCCTCGAGATGGGAGTAAACGGATGAGAACTCATGCTCACGGCATGGTAAACTGGTTGGTACCGATGCGACATGCAGTCGAGATCGGGCTAGTTGGAATGGCGATGACTTTAATTGGGTAGGAGACAGCCTGCGTGTTGCCAAAGGGGTGAACTGCAATGCCCTCTTCACCTTGAACCTGTATGGTAGGGCCAGTCAGTAGAGGGCCCGCTTTTGTCAGAGGAGACGCGAGAATACCTTCTGCTCGAAGTTGGCGTTGTTGCTGTAGTCTTCTTGGAGTGAGGCGTCGGCGGGTCTTTCCTGCGCTTCTTCTGCGCTCGTTCTTGTTCTGAACCAGAAGAATCATCGACGGCTACGTTATATTCCTTGGAGGACTCGTCACGTCCTGGAGGTTGCCTTCTTGTCGATTTGGTGTTTGCTTGGAGGTATTGCACCAAGCCGTGGATGTCATCCTCGGTACCGCAAAAAATGTCTTCCCAACAAAACTCTTCAGTGAAGATGGCTGTTCTTGTGTTGCATCCTCGGCGACACATGAAGACCTTGGAGTTTCGGGGTGCTCTGCCTAATGGATACCGTCGTTGGAACATATCGAATGATAAGACCGTCGCCTTTCCATTAATAGCGGTGAGAGGATTGACATCCCATGAAGGTGTTATGTAGAGCTCATGCTGCGGGTGTTAGCAATCGACCTGTGATGTTGTTCGGAGGCTATAGCATACTGGGAGGTAGTCGTTTCGCTTCTTCTTCTTCGTGATAATCTCTTTGTCCGTGGAAAACCACATGAACTCTGCTGCTTTTTCCCCATCTTCGCGGTCTAAAAAGCTGCAGATGATTGCTACCCAGGCCTCTTTCAACCCTTCGGCCTTCAGCAATACACACTCTCCGACGAGACACCGAAATCCTTCCAGCTGGGCTCCGATTATTTTGCGACCTGCACTTGGTGTATCTCTGACTTTTTTCTTGTGACTAGAGGTAATGTCCTCGGAATGGAACTTAGCTGGCTCCTCATATATCCATTCCCATGGGATATCATCAGTGCCGAGTTCGTCATCGGAGTCGTCTCTTGGCACCCCGGTGAGCTGGCGACGTGACAGCGAATTTCGAGATTTCGTTGTTGCCATCGATATGTTATTGAGATGCACTGTGGATGTACGGAGTGCGCGATGGCCAGAGTAATTGAACAAAAGCTGGAAAGATCGGTTCCGATGGCAAGGAAGTGACGTATCGCCAACCGATGCCTCAGGAAGTCAGAGAACAGTCGCGCACCACCTGACGCGTCAATGGAAGGAGCAGACGCGACAGGTCTTAAGCACAGACGGGCAACCTACCTAGGTAATTAGAAAAGGATTAAATAACTAGTGAATAAACCTAAGTCTTATTAATATTTAATTATAGGTTAAGTATAAGTAAAATTTAGTAAGAAAAATTTAAAAAAAAAATTTAACTATATAGGAAATTAAAATATAAAAATGTAGTAAATTATATTAAAATTAGAAAATATTTTTATAGTTTAATATATAGTTAAAATAAAAAGTTAAAAATAAGTCTAATATATAAAAATATATTATACTTTATAATATTAGATTATAATATTATAAAATACTTAAATAAATAGTATTAATTAAAATTATAATATAATTCTTTTAAGAATATAAAGGAATTATTATTACTATAATTCTTCTATTTTAAATTTTAGAATATAAAGCTATATATTTATATCCTTTATATATAGGTATATCTTATTAAGTCCTTATTATTAGTATTAACATCCAAGTAGTATATAGAGCAAGTCAAATAGTTAAACATTCAATATACAATCAAGGCGAAGCTGAAATCCTTACTATCTATAAACAACGCCGTCATACCACTCTCGATCCATGTTATACAGACTACACTGTCATCTTACAGCAGCATCCTCCTTGGATCCTCGATGTACTCCTTTATCTTCACCAAGAACTGCACGGCCTCCCTCCCGTCCAGTAGGCGATGGTCATAGGTGAGAGCGAGGTACATCATAGGACGAACCTCGACCTTGCCATTAACAGCAATCGGGCGATCCTTAATGGCATGGAGACCAAGAACGGCAGTCTGGGGAAGGTTAATGATAGGAGTTCCCATGAGGGAACCAAAAACGCCGCCATTGCTGATAGTGAAAGTCCCACCAGCCATGTCCTCAATCGTGAGCTTGCCGTCACGAGCCTGCAAAATAATTAGCCATGTCACTCACCCATGAAGACCAAAATCATACCTTCTTGCCCATGTCGGCAATTGCCTGTTCAATGCCAACCATGCCCATGGACTCTGTGTTGCGCACGACGGGTGTCACAAGACCCTTCTCGGTTGCAACAGCCACGCTGATGTCGACATAATCACGGTACACAATGGTGTCACCACCATTGGGGCCTTCAATTGAAGCATTCACGGCCGGAATGTCACGCATGGCGAGAACGGTCGCGCGCGCAAAGGCGCTCATGAAGCCAAGCTTCACACCGTCCTTCTTCAGAACATCGTCTTTGTAAAGTTTGCGGAATTCCATCAGCGATGACATGTCCACCTCATTGAACGTAGTCAGGGAAGCAGCAGTGTTCTGCGACTGCTTGAGGCGTTCTGCTATCCGGAGACGCATACGGTTCATTTTCACCTGTAATGTGTTCGGTGAGCAATTGTCCATGGTCACCTGGCTGAAAAGACTACAGCCGAAAGGGTCAACATACGCGACGTTCCTCACGGTTTCCGAGAGTAGGACCAGAGCTCGAGCCCTCCTTGGGAACATCCTTCGAGGGCTTGCTTGTTTCCTTCGCCGGCGTAGCAGGCTTGCTGCTGCTGCCGCTAGCGGGTGCATCTTGCTTTGGCTCCGACTTGGGCTTGGGTTTCGACTCAGACGTAGGCTCGGACTGAGGCTTCTCAGCTTCGTTTCCTTGTTGGCTCGGTGTGCTTGATGAATCCGCCTTGGCCTCGGTGCTGGAAGGTGCTCCGCCAAGCTCTAGTCTGACGATGTCCTGTCCAACGGTGACGGTGTCTTCCTCGTTGACGAGGAACTCTTTGATGGTGCCGGCTTCTGGTGCATTAACAGCGACGTCGATCTAGGCAAGCAGCCTCAGTCAGTATGGAGGATGGACACAGCAAGGTGTTCGGTTGAGGGCACCTTGTCAGTCTCGATTGTCGCAATTTCCTCGTCCTGTTCAACGTAGTCGCCAACCGACTTTTGCCACTGCTTCAATGTTCCCTCCGAAATTGACTCAGCCATCTGCGGGACCTGAACGATCTTGTCGGCATAGTTGCGCACATGTCGCATCATGATGGGCACCATCGCGACGTGTTGTGGCTGGCAACGACGTAAGGGCATCATGCGTGCCGCCGTGAGAACTCCTCTTGACATCATAATGAAGGTTAGAGGAAGGAATTCAGTGAAATAATGTTCGGGCGGCTTCGCTGAGTCGACGCTGGGGGTGTGTCTGAAGTGTTGTTACTGTTATACGGAGGATGGAGGCGTGATTTAGCGAGGCGTAGAGGCCATGTTTTTATATAGTGCAGCTGTCGGAAATGGAGGAAACGCTTAATTGACCTCACGGGTACCTGACCTGGCCCGAGAGTTAGCGTTGTGTTCCGTACTGCTCCGATCAGAATTTTGTTAAATGAATATCTATTTATCCAATAGCTTAGTAAGTAGTGCCTTTCACAACTAAGCGTAAGGGTGGAAACCTAAGTAGGCTTAAAAGGATACTATAGCTAAGTAGGTAAAAAGAAAAGAAGTATTTAATTATTAATATTATAATTAGATTTCTATTATTATTATTATTATTACTTTATAAAAAAGGGTTAAATTATATATATATAAGTAATAGAATTATCTATAACGTATATTACGGGCGAGTAGCCTATATAGGCGAGTAGCCCACCCACCTCGACTTTTCTAACCTTTTTAATTAATAACGTAATAATAAGATATCGGATTATATTAAAATTTACTCGTCGCTATTATCCGACTCTAATATAATTAATTAATAAGTTCTCGTATTATAACTAGTCTTTCCATAGACGCTATAGCTCTATTTCTTTAATATAGCGTAGGTTATTATATTTAGGTTTTAACGTATTTCTTCTATTATCTACGTATCTACCTCTCTCTAAGAGTTCTAATCTTACCTATTAGCTTACGATATACTCCCTCTAAGTCTAAATTATACTTTTTTTA